AGAAGGGGAATGAAATCACGGAAATGATTGTCCTGGAACAACGGAGCAGCTGACCCAGACCCCGTGTTTGTCACCGGCAGACAGGAGGCGGATTTTCCCCGCCTAGAAGGCGACCGGCGTCCCTCGGTCAAGGGTCCACTCAACAGGCGCTAAGGCTCCTCCTTCACACCTTTCAAAAGGCATATTTGTTATTTAAGAAGGACACACAAAAGCCTGCCGCCCGAGCTGCGTTCCAAAGATTAACCGGACCAGCTATTGTCCAGTCGTCATTCACAGTGACACGTGGGAGGAGCATATGGAACCCCCCCCGAAGGCCGTTTTTGAACATCGCCAGGCGCCGGACCGACCGTCGACCCCTCAAAGTGCCGATCTTGGCTCTGTCATGGGCAACGGTGCCATCGAACAACGGACCCACGAGCTGATATCGGTCGACGCCGCCGCACTGAGAAGCCCAATGAGACGGCGGGCTTTCCCGTGGGAATGGGTAGATGGTATGGATGGCTGTGGAATAACACATTGACAGGTTCTCACAGGAGATGCATAATGAGAGGGGTGGGCGCCGAAAGAAAAGGAAACCGACGGAAAGAAGAGAGAAATATACGATTTTGTACACCGGCTCAGTGAAAGCAAACAGCTAAATTAGTCATGGAATGGATGCTAATTTGCATCCCCGGAGCTTTGGATGGTAGAATTACCCCCAGAGGAGCAGAGGGTGAATCATGCCAACCCCCCCCCGGCGCCTTGGGATTTATTAGCGAACATCCCATTCAATAAGAGAGTCACTAACATTCAAAAAGTCTCATAAGGTGGCATCAGCTATATGATATCAGCGCTCCCGCCTCGCCGAGAACCATCTTGGCGTGACGCGCCAAGTGGGACTGTGACAAGAGTGAAAACTCACTTGGCCTTTTCCACGCACACGCATGTTACTCCTCATTAACATGGACAACGAGGTCCATTAATTGACACTCCGGCCCGAAGAGCCTCTCCGCTTTGAAAAGGGCACAGGGAGGCCGAGAGAGACAGCAGCGATGGGAGGGAGGGAGGCTGCAACGTGAAATATGCCATGTGACCGGTGCACTTCTGGCAGGAAGTGAAAGTTTAAGTCGTGCTGAGTGTCCAGCGAACTTTGGTTTTCTGAGTAAAACTGTCAAAATCTTCATCCGCACACACGTCCACATCTTGGGGTTATCGAGGCGTTTCAGAAGGTAACAAGGGACAGTTTATTACTTTGATATTGTCACCAGTAGTTATTGTCAAAATGCACTGACGTGCACTTTTAAGCAGAATTAAGCTAAAAACTGTTTTTCATCTTCGTTGTTTGTAAAAACATTCATTTGCAAACTCTAACTCTAACAAAAGATGATGTGTTAAAGAAGGAGAGTGAGATTAACCTTAAATGTAGGACATAATATGAGTATTACATTGAGAGCAATTTAAAGTGGAGTTTATTGCCTTTTTATGAGAACGTATACTAAACATTAAACTGATTCATTACAATTATTTAATAGGCTTAATTTGTCATTATAGCTAATAATTAACTTTCATTGCATCTAATTGTATCAAGTGTCTTAATTGCACTGTGCATTAGCCCGTCTAATCTCTACCACTCTGTGTGTGTTGTGGAAATGCAAAGAGGAATAAAAGGTACTTGCAGAGATTAAAGTAGGCGGAGCAGGACCATGAAAGGGGCCTATTGCTTTGATTGATCAGCTGATTGTGTGAGTCTGCGCGCAGCGAACGGGATTAAGTGTTCGCAGGTGCCGAGTGGGACGTCGCAGAAGTTCATTGATTGCAGAGACGGATTCTCCCATTTCAAAGGCGGATTAGCAAACGTGGAGGAAGCCAGGTGGCGTCATCAAGCCGTTCCCACCTTACTGGGAAGACGTTAATTAAAATGCACTAATAGAAATCATGTTCCGCGAAACGGATGTTCTGAAGAAGGAAAAACCAGAAACATCCAGCGAGCTGAATAGATTTTCTTCTGGACGTTATCCGTCACGTCACGTCGGCTCAGTCATCTCACCCACAATAACAGTAATATTGGCGCTGTATTGATCCCGCACACTTAGCAGATCCCATCTGGGCGAGAGTTTCGTGTCTAGCTCGGAGAATGGGCGTTAATTGGAAAAGTTTTCCTGAAATTTTCTTTCCGTTTGAATGGAAACTAAGTTTAAAGCTCCATCAAGCGATGTTTTTAAAGCGTAATGTGGCGTAAAGTGCTGCTCGCCCTGCTCGACGCCTCGATCTGGACTGCCTCAAAAACGTGCCGACCACAAATATCCGCTCAGTCCAAAATGGTTCAAATGTGAACGGGAGAGTCTGCTGCGGTGAGACGCCTGAATCCTCACCAGGAGGATAAAACCAGGGCAGAAACCCAACTGGATGTATTTGGACGATGGCACATGGCGGGTGGCGAGAAAGAAGATTAAGAAATTCCCAACACGGGTGAAAGTTTGCTTTCTTTTGCATTTCAACTTGCAGGATTGGCAGTGGTTTCATCTCCGGGTGAGATGTTGTTGGAATTACAGGCCTTCCAGAACACATTTGGTAAGGAGGCCTTTGCTCATTATTCCTCGGGGAGATAGAAAACCCCGCCTGTGGTTCTCTGCCGGCTGAAAGGAAAAACACATTATCTCGCAGACACGCGCGTTAAACCAAGAGGAACAAACCCCGCAAGGGTGAAGATGAAGGTTCTCGCGGACGATCCAGAGTGTTTGCCGAGTTTTAACAATAGAAGTGTTTTCAAAATCCCGACGCGGAGACAAGCGAGTGGTATCTGAAAAGCACCTCGTGCGCATGAAGCCGAATGAGCGCTTGTGAAGTAGAATGAAGCGTGGAGGCTGTTTCTCACCGGAAAACTAAAACCGTTTAAAAATCCGACTTCACTCGTCAATTATCAATTAAATTTCTCACCGATGTCGTGACCATAACTGGCCGAGAGGTAAAAATTCTCTAGTAAGCTAGAACACAATTAACTATTGTGGGGTACAAAAACAATCTTATAAGTTGGTGGAACAAGTTAAATGTTTCCAAAGAAAAATGTGCCATTTATTACATTTATTAAATTAAAATGTCACTCGTCTATCGGTGTCCGTCTTTTATTATTTCCCCGTAGTTAGCGGGCGTTCTTGCACATTCAGCGACACAGTTCCTGAGCTGCATTAAGCAGCTCATTAGGACGAGGGGAGAGAAATGCCCCTCGGGGTCAGAGGGTAAATCCCTGGTCATTGTGTGGTGGCAATAGTGCCGGGCAATTAAGCAAGAGGAAATGAAGACCTGAGGAAGACTGAGAGCTTATTAAAAGTGTGAGGTTGGTGACAGGGAGGAATCCAGGTGGTAGGGAAGGGATCAGGAATCGCAAATAAAACCGCATTAAACTGTTTTTTAAATATTTTTTTTCAGTTTTTCAGTGTGGGGAGATGTTAGCATGTTGTTTTTCATCCAAGGAAGTAGAGGTGGGGTGAATAAAACATGTAAACCTGTTCATTGGAAGTAATGTTGCAGGAAAAGGTTTAAAACCCTCATTTTGGGGGCTGAGATTACGCCTTCCTGCCCCGACTGCCCATCAGAGTCTTTAGTGGGCATGAGTGTGTTTTTAAGAAGCATGGAAGTAATGTTTTATTAACCCAATAAGGGAACTCATCGTTTTTTGTTTTTTTTGCTATTGGTAATTATTTGAGTTGCTTAAACAAACACAAAATTTGAATAATTAGTTTGTCTTCTGTGGATACAACTTGTTTCAAAGTGGTGGACGGTAAATATAACAAACCTACGTGTGATTTAAGAACGTAACAGTATTTCACGAACCCTCAGTCTTCTAACTCCTGGGAAAAATGCAGACGCCAACTTTGCACTGAAGCCAATTCCCCCGATGAGAAGCAAACGGGGAACTCGAGCCTCGTGCCAGGACTGAACCGCCGACCTGAAGCCCGCCAGCGCTTGTCCTCCGGCCAATTACCGTGTATTACGAGAGGCGCTCGACCGTCACAGAAGCCGGCACGTGCGCCTCGTCTCGATGAGTTGCAACATTTCCAGGCGCACGCGCGGGGCCCATTGATTACAGGGGCTCTACTTACAGCCTGCAGTCCATCAGCGCTCGGGGGACCGGTAATCACTGCTCTAATGCCGTTTGAGGCCCATCCGCTGCCGCTACGAGGCCACTCCTCGCCCCGCGCGGAATGCGCCGCCATGCAACCCGGATGGCCGTCGCTGAAAGCAGAGGGGACGACCTCCCGAACGCCGAGTGAAGCGGTGATGGGGCGCTGTCGCCTAATGGCATTATCGAAATGAGCGCAGATCCCCTGTGGCGGACTCTGGTTCCGGATTATCTAGCAGTGGTGGAACCTGTTTGGGTCCAAATCTGATCAGCATAGCACCAGACGCAGGCATGGCCGGTCACGAGACTCGAGCCCGGGGCTTCTTATCTCTACCGGCGGGACATTAGTCCTACATGCAGGAATTAATCATTTCAGTGAAAATAATGCTGCCTCTGTCCTAAATTACGAGAAAACGTCAGTTTGTTACAGACGTTTGCTCAATTATTGGCATTTTTACACGCTTTTGAGCACGCTTGCTAATAGTAATCACGTACTTTAGCGCAGGACATCAACTAGTAAACCGAGTAGTTTAATAGTCGTGTGGTGTGACGTGCGTGTTCACCGGGGAACCCTCTCCGGTGGTAAAGCGCTCGCTCAACGTGCAATCGATGAGGCTTTGTGAGATGCGACCGACCAAAAACCACGAGGCTCATGGAGGATTTCCTTTCACCATTTATATCACTTGTAACGATTCAGACGTGTTATTTGCTGTGCATTGAACCACATTGGAATACGACATCAATGTGTTTTTCCCCCCCCTACCTCTTTCCCGCCTTAATTAATAGACCTGTCAATCAATTTTTGAGCTTTAGATCCTGCGTAATTTGACCTTTTCGTGTTCGATTTGCTTCAGGCGGACGCTTTAAAAAAAAAAAAAAAATCAAAAGCTCCACCACTTACTTTGGTGTCTGTGCGTCATCCAATCGGTTCCCCAGCTGGAACTCGTGGGACTTGCTGCGGTGCAGCGCGGTGAAGCCCGGCAGCAGGTGGATGAGCTTTCGGCTGGGCGGAGGCGGCGTGCCGGGGGCCTTCACTTTGTTCCTCCGCCTCATGGGAGGAGTGCCGGGCGGGGTCATCGTGTTCACCACCAAGGGAGTCCGGGGAGGCGTGTGGCCAAAATGCCTCTGGCGGGGCGACGGCGGCAGGGAGCGATGACCGAAGTCCAGGGGGGGGAAGAGCCCCGCCGCCGGGCTGTCGACGGTCAGCCGCTCGGCGTACAAAGGGGGGGCCGGGGCCTGCGGGCTGTGGCACATGTGCTGGTTGTACTTGGACTGAACTTTGGGGCTCTGGGAGAGCTGGAACCGGATCCACTGACTGGCCTCCGGCTGGCACACCGGAGTGTTTTCTTTGCCCGACTCGGAGGTGGGCCACTGGATGGACCAGTCCTGCTTCGCCTGGCTCCCTGCAGGGGGGGGGGGGAAGCACACAGGAGAATGATGTATGATGATGATGATGATGATAAAACGCCAACACAGAACCTGGCTGTGACAAAATAAATACACCTTCACACCAAACACAAGTACCTTTTCACAAAGTGCCGTCTGATGTGTAATTCAGTTGCCAGACATGCATGCTGTATTGTTTGTGATGTGCCATATAAGTCTTCTGCCTTGAAAGCTATGAGATGGAGGTAAATGGGTTTGTTTCATGTTTATCACAGCTATTTTTAAATGCCCATGTTTGGAAAAAAAAAAAAACAGCGCAATGTCCCGGTTACTCAGAGAATCCATTAACCTCATGATTGTCATTGGAACTACTTTGCACTGAATAGTTAGTGCCTAAGAAAACGATTGGAACCTAATTACACACTAGTGTAGATTTTGAAGGAGATGACATGTTCAAATAAAACGCAAACTGCATGTCTCGATACCACGCGGGTGAGCAAATGTGTTATTTCCTAACTTGAGGGAACGCTTTTGTGTAACATGGCGTCTCGTGTTAAGCTGAAGTGGTTCTCGTCGTGCACTTGACATTAAAACACTCATTAGCTCTGCTCCTTGATTGCAGCAGTGAGAGTAATCCGCGGCGGGTATTCACGACCTGCAAATGTGCTCCGTTTGGGTTAATGAAGATTAACGCCGCTTGTAATCGGATGGGAGCATGTAATGCGGCGGTGCTGAAACCGGTTGATGTGGAGCAGATTAAGCGCGAATGGATGTCGCAGGAGAGAAATAAAGACCAAAAAAAAAAACGGAACAGGCCGAAGCTGCACGAGCGGCAGCAAGCCGACTTGCCAACGAAACGAAACTTTCTGCAGGATGAGACACAGAGAGAGAGAGCGGAAGCAAAATAACTGAAGGTGAGCAGCCGAAATGAGTGTCTTTGAACTCAGAGGACAATACTTTACCTCCATTACTGTGCAATTCGTCCTCCTCAAGTTGTTCTTCAGAAAAGGGACAAAAAGAAAACGATGTGTTTATTGATCCGGCAGAGACACAGCGGAAACAGATAAGTGAAGGATCGATTTGCGGGGGGCGAAATCTACCTCACACTTCTCCACAAGCTGCAATCGAACAGCGAGTCACATTCTTCATGCAAATGTTTGTCATCAACTTTTTTTGATGTTATTTTGTTTTTTTGTTTTTTTTTGTTGTTGTTTGAGTCAGTTATTTTTTTTATTCCCCATGACAACGTCTCCAAGGCACCGCGAGCATCAAAAGCACAGACTTCAAAACACAACATCAGCACCGGCAACATCAAATGAAGCGCGGAGAATATCTCCCATAAAAGGTCCCGCCGGAGTCGCTGAACATGATGAATAAAAAAAAAAGGGAAAGCCGGCGGCCTTTCCTGTCCTGTAATGTTATGAAGAAGAGGCCCGCGAGGGTCGACTGCTTGAGGTACGAGACGGCAGCAGAGACACGAGGGACATAAAACACAGGGACTTCCAAGGGTCTCTTTTTTATTATTTAAATGCACTAGTTTAAAATTATTTCTGGAAACCTCCCCAAAAAATACTCTTTTTATCTTTAAACAAAAGTTTGTGTTCAGCTCTGGAGAAACTTGGCTAAACGCTAAAATTGTCCTGCGGCCCCCCCCAAATAAATGTAGTTCTTTAATTGATTCTGAGACCTAAAAGCAAGAAAACCCACGTTGGTGTTTGTAGAACAAACATTTGAACGTGAGTTTTGTTCAAGAATCAGCGGCTACTTTGAGTTTGTAGCTTCATAGCTTTTACGCGTCCATGTCATGGACCAGCTGTAAAACGATGATCCTCCTGCTCTCTGGCTGAAATCTTTTCTTATCAGTCAACCTGGTGTTGTCTCTACGGTCGTCATGGAAACCTGCGTGTAGATATCGATCCCCTGCGGCAGATTTTGTGAAAATTCCAAAGTAAAGTGAGCCGGAGGAAAATGCGGCCGCGTGATTGTACTTTACCTCGAGCGATGGTCCGGACACGCAATTTACAACCTGAGGACCGAGCTCACACTTAATGTGCCTAAAGCCACACGAAGAGGCAGCCATCTCTCCCCGAAAAAGCCCCTTCGGGATCACGCCGAGATTGGGAAGGAGGAATGAAACCTCGTGTGAAGGACTGAACCCAATCGACGGAAAAGATCCAACCGCCCGAGATTTAAAATACCGACGATGGGTAAGAGAGAAGCAGATAGCTTTGAGTCAAGCGGAGGGATTTAACACCTGAAAGGTACGAGGTGCCACTTTGTGCAGTCCATTGAGCACCATGCAAGATCCAACAAGATTATCTTTTTTGAAAACGTCGCTCCAATAACCGTCGACTTGAATGACGAGCTTCTCTTTGGTAATTATATTCCTGCGAGCCGCACTTTCCAAAATGGCCTTTGACGGCGCGCCTCAAGCTGAAAACCCCGGGAAACGTCTCTTCGGGAGAAGTAATGAACTTTAATCACACTTCATGAAACTGTGGCTTCACGTAATGAATCAATTCATCAATTGCACTACTGTATCTTAGCAACCGCTCCAGCGAAATAGTAACAAGACTCGACATGTGAATTTCTCGTCTCACGTGATCGCACGCGCTCCTCCGGCTGATTCGAGTGGCTTGTGCTTGTTAGAATGTGCTTTTAAGGAGTTAAAAGCACATGTGTCAAGGGTTCATGATTTCGGCGCGCTGTGGAGACACAGAAATTTTCTCAAATCGGATGGCAAACCAGTGTTACACCACACTCTGATAGCAGAACTATTGGATGCCATTTTGTTGCCCACAGCTATTGCCGTTTGTAAATGTGCAGCGCACACATCCGGCACAGGCGACATCGCAAAGGGGAATGAGCGAGCAGACTTAGCTGCAAAAGCGGCTGCTAGACGTCCTCTTCCCAAACCATCACGCCCAGTTCCTGCCATGTGTTCTCTTCCCTCCTCTCTTGCAGCCGTGCAGTCCCTCTCTACTTCAGATGAGAGACGTTTTTGGTCCTCCTCAGGCTCCAAATTCATAGACGGCATCTGGTATGGTCCAAATGGTAATCCATGCTTACCTAAACATTTCTTACCTCACTATGCGAAATTGACTCGTGGGTTAGACCATGTGTCAAAAGGGGGAATGTTAAGTATCATTGATGCAACATGGTTCACAAAAGGTTTTGCAGCTTACGCACAAAGGTTCTGCCAAGCGTGCATAACATGTGCAACTCACAATATAGGTCGTTCAGTACAGGTGTCACATCATGCAGCACATCCACCGCCTGCAAGACCGTTTGAACATGTAATGATGGATTTTGTGGAACTCTCCCCATCGGAAGGTAAGAAACACTGTCTTGTAATGGTAGACATGTGGTCCAAATGGGTTGAGGTGTTTCCCTCCAGTAAGCAGACAGCCTCCACAGTGGCTAAAGCCTTGATTTCAGAGATCATTCCCCGCTGGGGAATCCCAAGCAAAATTTCTAGCGACAATGGTTCACATTTTGTCAACCAAGCAATCACAGAATTAAGTGCATACCTGGGTATTGACTTAAAAACACACTGCGCATACCACCCAGCTAGTGGGGGAGCGGTAGAGAGAGAAAATGGAACATTGAAAACAAAACTGGCCAAATGTTGCACAGACACAGGTCTACCGTGGACAAAAGCACTGCCCTTGGTTCTGATGTACATGCGGATGAGGAAACGAACACGCAGCAACCTAAGCCCATTTGAAATCCTTTTCGCAGTTCCTCCCCATATAGGTGTGGAAGCTCCAGGAACACCACTCCCTTCCACCACAATGTGCGAGAATGACATGTTAACCTATTGCATTCGACTGTCTTCCACTTTGTCTGATGTAAGAAAACAGGTTGTAGCTGCACTTCCAAGAGAAGCAACGGGTCCACTACACCGACTGCAACCAGGTGACTTCGTGGTGGTGAAGGACTTCAGGAGGAAAAGTTGGAAAGCTAAACGGTGGCAGGGTCCATTCCAGATTCTCCTGGTCACCCAAACAGCGGTCAAGGTAGCTGAAAGAGCAACTTGGGTCCACGCATCCCATTGCAAGAAGGTTCCAGATCCAGTACCAGCAGTGGGCTCAGGCGACCCTACCTCCACAACAAGTGTCAATCAACCGACACCACCGATCCAGTGACCACGGACGGGCAGTTGACCGACAGACACACAGTGCATTGTGATCTGTGTTGACTGTCTACAACGCGGATGCCTCACAAGAAAGAGGGTTGGCAGACTCCACATCCCAACGTGTACCTGCGGACCAACACAAGAAGAAGAACACGGCCAGGACCCCTCCACATAGACACAGTAGTCGTTTGTGTCACTACGGTTTTTGAGATTTTGTAATCAGCTATCTAAAGAGTGGTTCTCTCTTATCATGGAATGACTCTGACAATAACCCCAACAGTGACTCGGACTCCCTTGACGAGCTGAACACTTACGACCTCGACACGTACGCATAGTGACATAGTGACACACTGTCTGTGTGCATTCCTGGTGTTCTAAATGTTTTTGGTTTCACAGTAGCTTGCTAAAACAATGAGAAATAACATTCTCACAAAAACAGCTTTTATTCTTGCATTTATTAGTATGTAACGTAAATATGATTGATATAATGACCTTTCCACAATATTCTATATCTGTATTGTGTGAAAGGGGATCAAGTTCTGGTATTGTGATTTAAACATGTTCTCATTTCTTTTTTATTTCAATACTGTACACATGACATCTGGGGTGTAACGCTCAAATCCTGTGAGAAGGTTTCCAGTCTTTATCTTCTCCTAACAGATTTCTTCCTATTTTCCCATTTCGGAGGGTTTTTTTAGGGAGTTTTTGTTCTGTGGCAGGAAAAGTTTTGTGAGCGATGTCCAGATGTTCATGTTTTGTGATATTTGATGTGGTAGATATCAGCTAGTGAATTTTTAGAGTAGTCAATCTAAATTGATTGCATAGTTTGTGATTATTATGTAATCAAAAGAGTGGAATGTAATGGGAAAATGATATGTGACCCTTTTAAATGCTTCATTTGTATAACCAGTTTATTAGTTGCAAGTGCTTAGGTCACAAAGGCCCTGACATAAGAACTGATGTCTCCCACTTGGATTAGATGTTTCCAGCGTCATAGCTGTAGAGATTGAACAAAGTGTTTGTTATGTCTATGACCACCTTTGTTTTTGAATGTTGGGAGAGCAAGGATACGGTCAAAGAGCTGACGTGTCTTACATGGATAAGATGTTCCCAGTATCCTGACTGTAGATACTCAACAAGATGGTTAACGGTTTCTGTTGACGCCACCGATATCTAAGTTTAGGTATAAGAACTGCCTCGATGTGTTGGGAGGAAGAAGGAGGTTCTTGACAGTCTACTGACCACGTAGCTGTTGTGACCCTTTTTCCCTTGCAAGGAAATAAACGGAGGAAAGACATACTTGACTCAGAGCCTTTGATTCTTACTTAACGATTGTCTGTGCAAAATCTTCCACCACAGAGCTTCCCCTTTTTATTCTTCATGTAGCTTGTAGATTATTACCACTTTCAGAATCTGTTTACGCAGAGCGGCAGCATCTAGATTCATTGCAGAATTCCTTCTGCAAAATCACTTTTCTTTCACCTCATTGTGCGGCGATCATTAAAAATGTTAGCGAGCCACCGGCGCTGCATCCTCGGATCAATCCTTCCCCACGTGGATCAGCCGTTGATGTCCCGGGGGGGGGTTGAAGCCCCACAGGTGCGTCAACGTGTTTCCCTCTAATTCACACATTGGCATCGGAGGAGCCTCTTCATCCGGATCCCACAGAACGACACGCCGCTGGAATCGGCCAACGGCGTTTGCCTCTTCGCGTAGCTCCAGGGCTAATTTGTGCTAATCAATGTCCCCCCCCGTCCTCTCCTTTTGCACCCCCCACCGCCCCCCACCCCTGCAGTGACTGATGCAGACGGCACATGGGGGACGTCATTGGGACAGTGTTTAAACATGCGGCGAGGCATCGGGGAACGGCAGATAACAGCCTCACAGCTGAACTAATTACCTGTGGATGTGCCGCTTCTTTGGGCTAAATGGCGGCGAAATGCCACCAGGATTCTGGCTGCTTCACCCAGCTGCCAGCGCCAGAGTCCCTTTTGCAATCCGGACTCCTCTAAGAGGAGGGTTTATGGATGTTCTTGCCGCGTAATCAGCGGGAACTCACTGGGCAATTAGCTAACAGCCCGAGAAGGAGCACCCGGGGGTCCCCAGGAAGACGGGGGTGTCGGGGGGGTTTTGGTCAATTCTCCCGCCGATCGTTTTGCTTCCCTGTTGCATCTGCTCTTTTCTTCTCGGCGTGGCAGCGTCGCTGCCTTCTCTTCCTCGCCCCAGTTTCCTCTCATGCCGCCCCGGCGTCCTTCTTCTTGCCTCCCCTCTCCCCCCGTTGCTCATCATCCGGGCCTCTCTCTCTGTCTCTTTGTGGATGATGGCATTTGAAGCCAATTAGGTGTTTGTACGCATGTAAAGCTGTCAAGAGGGGGCACGGCGACATTCCTTCTCCCTATCAAAGACCACTAGCGCCGAGGCCCTTAGGAGACCGGAGTCGTGCTGAGCAAAGATCAACACTATTAGCCCCATCAAGCCCGAACTCGTGCTCAAGAAACGTTAACTGTTCACGTGTGTGTGTGTGTGTGTGTGTCTGCGTGTGTTTAAGAGGACTAGTCTAGAGGGCCGGGCTGGGTAATGTGTGTGTGTGTATATCGCTCGCGGCGCGAAGGACCGACCGGCTGCCTCAGAGTCGTATGACTCACCGCAACTCGTGGTCTGCGATCCCAGGAGCCCGGACGGAGAAGCCTCCTATTAGCTGGCGTCAGCGTCCTCCCTCCGCGGAGCGACATCCACTCACAGCGCTCTGCGGTTATCACTGCCAAGGACGGGACACGTGCACCAACGTCCACGTTTCCCGTCCTTGGCAGTGATAACGTCCACGTTTGCCAATTTTAACATCGTTCCTGATGACTCATAAACTGGATCAACATATTCTCTTCATATTAAACATATAGAATGTGTAAATCCTCCGCTCTTATTCACGATGCTTCAATGAGTATCTGTACTTTTGCAACAACCTCCGGATTTTTAATACAGTAACTTGAGATGTGAGCACATCCTCTGCTTCATGCCTAGCAACGCGTGCACGTCTTTTAGTCTTGTATAAACATATATATATATTTATATGCGTGCAGAATATGAATAACGCTGCCGCACAGCCTGTATTTCTCAGGCTGAAATTGTGCCTCCCTCGGCGCCGTGTGCCGGCGGTTTGTTGCCGTGGTGCATTCACACGTCTCCAGCCAGCCCCCGTTTTTCAGAGCCCATTAGTGGCTCTTTGTGGCCGGGCCCCTGCCTGCGGAGAGCCGCGGAGGGAGAGCGGGAGGGCGGAGGGCTCGGCGGAGGCTTTTATGCTACTGTGAACCGGGTGTGGAACTTTGGTCATGTGGTCAGATGTGGACCCGCCTTCATCACCCCGTCCCTTTAACACCGCTCCATTGCACAAGACAGGTGATACATACAGCATCGGGTTACAAAAGGTCCAAACTGGATTATTCGGATTTGGAGAGGGGGGGGTGTGACGCCTGAGGCCTGACCGGTCTGAACACAGCTGGACCGGGGCCTGACGGGCGACGCCGGGGCGACGCCGGCCTGTCTGCTTGTCTTTCTGAACCACGACAACCGCGCCGATCCCGTCCATCTAAGTGTGAATGAATCCTAATCCAACACAGGAGAACAAAATGCTGCGAAGAAGAAGAAGTTAAACCTCCTCTACCAGAATACTCTTCTAACAAATACCGATTTGTTAAAACACAATGAGGGAAAACTACTCAATAAGTTTAGTTAATTATTCAGCAACGCCTTTCATCTAAAAGGACATCTGTTACAGAATAGTGTGTGTGCGTGTGTTTGTGTGCGCGCGCGTGTGTGTGCGTGTGTGTGTGTGTGTGTGTGTGCGTGTGTGTGTGTGTGGGAGTAGAGGAGAAACAGACATGTTATCAAACGGGTTTACGAAAGGTTGTAACTAAACCTCAGCGAGGTTCTACTGCCCCCTTGTGGCGCCTTTGTGTCATTGCGGGAGCCCAGACTGAACTCAAAGTGCGGCCTGCAGCGCCACCTGGTGTGCAAGCAGTGAACAAAGGAAACGCACCTGTGGCATCACAGCAAAACAGACGGAGCGAGTCCACAACTGGACTGAAAGCCGAAGAATAAAAGCAATTTGAGTAAATGAATCCACCTATCACAGGGGTCGGAGGTTCGATCCCCGGCTCCTCCTCCCCACATGTCAAAGTGTCCTTGAGCAGGGCACTGAACCCTAATTTGCTTGCGGTGGTCCGGTGGCCGTTACAGTGTGGATCGCATCAAGCAGCAGATAAAACCAACGCACCTTCATAAACACCCGATAAAAATAAAAGGGTTCTTCATTGGAGCTCAGCGGTGCACATTAACATTCAGCACGTCAATAAAGGGGAAAATTGAGAGAGACCACGGAGCATAAAGGCTTCAGGTCACTTGTGTTTTTAACTCATTTTTAAAACTCATTTGAAGTTTCTACAGCATAAAATGTGCATGTTTGTTTCAGCTGGATTTAGTAAAACCAGCAGCGCTGTCCTTCTTTGCAGGGACACAGTTGAACAAAGGCCAAAGATAAAGGCGGCAGATGAAGTCAAACAACGCGTTGCCTCCCTCGCTTATTACTAGAGAACGTTCATTTGACTCCATGTAGAAAATGCACAAACGTGAAATTCGGCGGTGGAGAACCTGAGGAGGCCGATTGCAAAATAAGCCTGTCTCTATAAACTCTTTAAAGCAGGAACAAATAATAACTCCTCCTCGTATGATCGAGTAAATCGGTGCACGTGTGATGAAGAGAACGGCGCCACCTGCAGACACGGCAGCGGCACTGCGCGCATCAAAAAAACATCCGTTCTTTGGGAATTTATCAGGAGATGACGTCACAGCTCGTGGCCACGTGTCGCGTCTGAAGCAGGATAATGAGGAAGGGATTTGCTGTTGCTAAATATAGCAGGATGTAAACAAGCATCCTTCTGCTTTCTCACGGTGTCTCTGCATGTTTGGGCTCCATTAAGCAATAATCGGGAATATTTTACGTTACTGCAGCCGGTTTGTGAACCGCACGGTGTCATTTCCTACTTTCTAAGCAACCGTTATGGTTAAACTCACTTTATTTGTTCCTCAAAGTGCTTACAGTAAGTAAAAGATTTTAAGAATTTAGTTTAGGGATCTAATTTAATATATTGCTATCAATTTAGAACCGCCAGACTACTTCTGTATTGTCTGTCCGGAGATCTTTGTTACATCGTTTTGTCATTTTCTGTCAGCTCTCTGCTGTATAGTGTCGCACAAAAGCATAAAAAACAACATATAACGTTAACACAATAAGTCACTAAATGCTAAAGATTGTTTTTTCCTTGATTCATATTGTCACCCTGCTGGAATAATATAAATTTGGCGGCAAAATGGTGCTCATCATGTTTTGTAAACATAATAAATGCAGACGCACAATCAGATCATCCTCTAAAAATAAATGAAACCCACACGAAACGTTGAGTCTTATTTGGTTCCTGCTAAATAAAAACGTCTTATAGAGACGGTAATTCTGAGCGAGACGAATTGATAGGCGGGCGTGTCCGTGCGCGTGTGCGAGCTCCTCCCCCGGGCGTCGTGGGGAGCTTACCGAGCTGGTGGGCCTTCCTGAGGCAGGAGAGCGAGGCGTTGAGTCGGGCGCACTCCTCTTCGTTGGCGCCAAACTTCTGCAGCTGCTCGCTCACCTCCTCCTCGCTCTTGTCCAGCAGGCCCTCCAGGGTCACCTCGCCCGGGCTCATCTCCTGCCACAATACACCACAATCGCACCGTGACGCAAGCAGCGCGGGGTTTATGGTCAACGAGGCAGTCAGGGGGACGGTTTAGAACTTTTTTTCAGTTTGTGGGCACTTGAACGTGGATGGAGGTCATGGACCGTGCCGTATTAAAGCATTGGATCCGTGTTCATCTCCTGCCATCATTTTACAACCTTAAGGCGCTTGTCAGTTAAGAGAAAACACCTGGAAATATAAGCGTTTATAGCTCATTAAGGGAAGAATTCATCTTCTAATTGCCACAGAAAGACATCAGCAAAAGATGAAATTTTAACTTGACATTTGTATTTCAAGAGAAAAGTTTGGGGGTTTTCTTGAAGCAAGCATCTAGCGGCCATTAGAGGAACCTCAGCATAAAACAAATGTCTCTGCTGATCGACAGAAAAAAGCCTTCGTGATAAATGCAGATAATTCCATTAAAGACAGAAAGATGTCGCGTGCTGTGGCCTTCAAAGTCACCACATCTTCAGGGGGTTATTTAGTTTGACAGCTCTGAGCTACACATTGCAAGGTGAGCTTCTCTTTGCAGGGGACGTGTTACCTGCGTGACCTCCTTCCTCAGGTTGACGATGCGGAACCAGTGGCCGAGGCGGGGGAAGTCCTCCAGCTCCACGCTGCGCTCCTCTAAGGCCACTTTGCACTTGCAGGACAGCTGGCGGCTGAAGTACTTCACCAACTTCCCCTGAGGGACAGAGGGACGCACACAGTGAGGCACGGCGGCGAACTCGCCTTCTGCACGCGGGTCAACCTTCTTCTCCCTTTTTCATCTCTCCACTCAAACTACAGGTGGGATTCCTCCTTTTCTAGTTTATAACCAGAAGAAAACCAATATAAATACGATGCAGTTTGCTTACTGCTCTGGAAAAGAAAATAATTTAAACAATGCATCACATTAGTTCCCCATTATTATCAATAACTTTATGAATGTTTAACTGTCTAACATAAAAATATTTTTGTAGATCTTTTAAACTTAATTCTACATTTATGCATCAACAGGCTGAAGAACCAGGGCAAAACCCTGAAAGGGGCAAAAGGTTTAATTGTTTATAATACAGCGGGATTCTTTCCATGAAGACATTCTTTTAACTAACAAACTACAGGGAGGGTCTCTGGTTGCCCTTGCAAAGGAAGTGTCCCTTGTAAATAGGATTTAAAGGGTTAAGCAAGTTTAAACAATCAAGCCGTTAATAGAAATTGTAGACAGACCTTTTAATTCATTGTGGTCCTAAGAAACATTATACAAAGACACTGAATCCCATCACAGACCCGACCTCTGACCTTTTCTGTATTTATCCAATCTCAATAAATCTCCATCTAAGTTGACAGAAGGTGAACACTGTGTGGATTCAAGGGAATTAGTCAAAATTACAGATACAATTAGTGATTCCATAACAACAAAAAAAAGATTCCAAAGCCTTAATGACACCTTATAGTTATTCAATGGTTAGATTATGCTGCCATGTACACATTTAAGTCTTTGTCAATACATATGTAATGTGCTGTAAACAAAGCTCCCCTTAAAAACACAAACAGCTTTCTTTTTATTGTGTACAGATTATATTAAATAAGTTAAAATGAGCTGATGACTAATATGGAGATATTTTGACAGAGATGTTTGAAAGTGTATTTTTAAACCTTGAGGCTAACGTTAGCAATTTAGCTAACGCCCAAGCTAGCCTTAGCTTAGCTCGGGCGATAAGCAAAGCTAATCACGTTGCAGCTCAACATAAGCGTAGCTATTAAAACGGATTAGTATATTCATTGAACACACAGTCAAGTTTCTCTATTTCACCGAAGTAAGACTAATGTCGTCTTAGTAGAACTATATTTTTGTGTTGTAGATGAAACCAACAAACGGTAAGTGGAAAGTAGCAACTAGCTCCATCTTTGTCATGGATTTAAACCGGAGGACTCGGGTCACAGACGTGTTTTAACGTGTGCGAGGTTCGGTACACAAAACTCAAAAAACGTAACCCGGTCGTAGACGAGGTTCAATATTGTGACGCCTGCAACCGCCTTTATTTAAATATAAAAACTTCTACTTTTGGCAATTTTGCAGATGATACTTTGAATATGACTATTTCTGCGTTTAGCTTGAAAACAAAATCCTTTGTGACCTGGAAACCTAAACAGTGGGTACGGAAAGTATTCAGACCCTTTACATTTTCACTCTTTGTTTCATTGCAGCCGTTTGCTAAAATCAAAAAAAGTCCATTTTATTTCTCATTAATGTACACTCAGCACAAAAAAAACCCCTGAAATATCACATGGTCATAATACTTTTCGTACCCACTGAATTAATAATAGATGATTAAAGAATGGGAGAGCAGCAAACGTACATCGATAAATGTGTTGACATGAAGAATGAATTCACAGCGTGTACATTTGTGACACAACAATCGGTCCGATGGAAGATGAGGAAAAGGTGCAGGCCCACACTGGGTGACGTGACGGCCGAGGACTTGAGGATGATGCATCCGAATGGCTCCGTTCCAAACGCACGCCTGCAAAGCGGCTGCTGGAGAGGAGACGCCGCCGGCCGACGTCCCGCTGCACACCGAAGCAGAAAGCAGGAGGACGGACTCACGAGTGACCTCCGAATGCAGCGAGGCCGGCAGCAGCTTCCCACTGACGCTGCTCGCCTCCTACAGAGAAACACGCTGAGGGGTTGACTGTGTGCTGGAGATCAGCTTCTCGCAGGGAAGGGCCCTCGCGCCCTATTTATACCAACGAAGAAGATGCCCAACATGTCCAGAGAGAAACAGAAATCGAACAAAGCCACTAAAAACACCAGCAAATTACACAAAGACCAGACACACAACCTGACTACAGAAACACAACCTGACTACAGAAACACAACCTGACTACAGAGACACAACCTGACTACAGAGACACAACCTGACTATAGACACACAACCTGACTACAAAGAGACACAACCTCACTACATAGAGACACAACCTGACTACAGAAACACAACCTGACTACAAAGAGACACAACCTCACTACAGAGACACAACCTGACTACAAAGACACACAACCTGACTACATAGAGACACAACCTGACTACAAAGAAACACAACCTGACTACAGAGACACAACCTGACTATAGACACACAACCTGACTACAAAGAGACACAACCTGACTATAGAGACACAACCTGTCTACAGAAACACAACCTGACTATAAAGAGACACAACCTGACTACAGAAACACAACCTCACTACAGAGACACAACCTGACTACAGAAACACAACCTGACTACAGAGACACAACCTGACTATAGACACACAACCTGACTACAGAAACACAACCTCACTACAGAGACACAACCTGACTACAGAGACACAACCTGACTATAGACACACAACCTGACTACAAAGAGACACAACCTCACTACAGAGACACAACCTGACTACAGAAACACAACCTGACTACAAAGAGACACAACCTCACTACAGAGACACAACCTGACTACAGAAACACAACCTGACTACAAAGAGTCACAACCTGACTACAGAAAAAGCGGACCTGACTACAAAGAGACACAACCTGACTACAGAGACACAACCTGACTACAGAGACACAACCTGACTACAGAAACACAACCTGACTACAGAGACAACTTGACTACAAAGAGACACAGACTAACTACAAAGACACACAACCTGACCACAGAGACACAACCTAACTACAAAAGACACAATCTGACTAGAGACACACCCTGACTACAGAGACACAGACAAACTACAAAGACACACAACCCTGACCACAGAGACACAACCCTAACTACAAAGACACAACCCTGACTACAAAGACACAACCTGACTACAAAGAGACACAGACAAACTACAAAGACATTAAAAAAACATTACAAAGAGACACAAAAACATAACTTCAAATTGCTGCAAAACTAGAACTAAAAGACACAACAAGACCTCATAGAGTAGGACCACACAAAACAACCCCCATAACGACAAAAAGAAATGACACCGAGGCGACACAACGTCGTGACAAAGAAACACAAACTATCCACTCAGAAAAAGGCCACCAACTAAAACTATCAACACGTCCGTCTTGTGTGTCATGAAGCTCTCATGAGTAAAGTGTCTCGCTATTTCTAATTTACCATTTACACGATCTCAACACATAAAGCTACACATGTGTAGAGAAGTTTGTGTTTTGTAACACTTTTCCAGCAGAGTTGTCTCTTTATGTCACATTTAACATCCAGCAAGCGAGCAACACTGATTCTCCACCGTTCACCTGACGCCAAAATGACTCTTTTTAAACCCAAAATAGAGGTTAAACTGGAGCACTGCAGCCAGTCCCGAGAGAGCTGCGAAACGGATTGTATTCTTCGAGGTTAATGTGAATCAGATGTCTCCTGCTTGAGGAGAAAGTTGCCTTTTGTCAAGAAATACAAATAGTTATTAGGGCCTTTTTTAACGAAACATGTCAAATATCAGTGGGTACGGAAATGAGGGAGTCTCTCGCGTTCACAGTGGATACAAATTGTTCAGTGAGAGCGGCATTGCCGTCCTAAAATCTCCAGTCGGAGCGGTTTACAGTGAGCCAAACTTTACTCCCTCGCTCAAAACCCCCAGAAGGGACTGAACATACTGTTCTGTGGGCAGGTGCACAAGCTGCAAGAGTTAGCAGGCCGACAACAGCAACCCACCAGCTGAAAAGTCCCCCCGTTTCAACGCTTTATCATTTTTACCTTCTGTCTCTGCTCCCTTTGAGAGAGCAGCGCGTGTTTTCTTTACACCTTCAAGTTAAAAAAAAGCAATCAATGGAAGAAGTAATATTTTAGTGCAGGTAAAAATATATGTTAAAGAATATGAGGGTGGACAATATATGAATAGTAACTATTTAGAACAATAAAATCCCCATGAACAAAAGTATGAGGCGAAATTTACCATAAAAAACATAAGTAAAGAAACATAATTTCATGAAAACACTTTTTTAAACTTAGTGTCATTCCTATTTGACACAAACTCTTCTCACATGCTGCCCGACCGGTTAATCAATAGACATATAGACAACCGACCTTTACTTCTGCACCGGCTTCAGGTCTGATAAACCAGACGCATTAAAGTTACGCCAAACTCAGGCAAAGTTTAATGGCGAGGGGCTCGTTTCATACACTTTCCCTTACTTAGATGGTATAAACACAACATCTATCTCTAGAACTTTAACGTTTTACAAGGAAACATGTTTCCACCTTTGAAGCCTGAACCAACAGCAGGAATTATAAATATACTTATATACTACAACAGCGCAGGATTTTACCTGCCTTTCAGGAATTACATAATCAAGTCACATGACCATCATTTGTCTGCATCTCTATAAAAGCCTGAAAAAATGTAAAAAATAAAGAAAACACATCAAGCACATGGATCAATGGAGCGTAACCGAGGGATACCGCCGGCCATGCTTAATCGCATTAACGCAGACCGGTAAGGAGACTCCATGAGATTGCGGCACAATCAGGTATTGATAAAAACGTTATTTTTACCAGGGGAATGTTCCAACGGGAGAATCACAGCCCACAACAGTACGTGACGACCAAAATATCTCACTCTGACCTGGATTCCTCCTGGTGTTTCTACACACGTAACACAAATGATCTGGCGTCATCTGCATTATTTATTGTGCAGCCTGGTATTACGTGTAAACTAAAACCCTTTTGGAAGTCACCGACGAATGAGAAAACCGCCAGAGGACCAGTCAGACGTCGTGTTGTAGGATTATTCTGAAAATAATTGCATTCATCTTTTAAACGCTCTTGGCTCATGTGGTCAGAGATGTTGGCTCCAACTTTCAGACAATGGCAGTAATAAATACGTAACTTGAGGTGATATTTGTATTTCCCGTATTAAATTCTACAGGTAGAAATATTTGATCAATGACTAAAATATAACTATAGTGTGGACACTTTGAGTTGTCTTCTTCTCTTTGCTGCCCTTTGCAGCCCCCAGTGACGTGTTTCCCATCAATCCTTCAGGCAACAAGTGACACAAACAATAAAACGCGCCAGCGGTCAGAGGCCCCTCAGAGCAACGCGTCAAAAATACCACAGATGTCAACTTTTTAAGGGAGAGTATTAGTTTATGGACATTAGCGAAAAGCTTGTTTGTGTAACTTTTCATTACATTGTCAAAAGAAATGTAACACTAAAGGTGGGGAAAAAAGCTGTCGTTGCCTTTTAAAACAACTAGAGGACTTTAACTTCCGCCAATTTACGCTTTAAGATTTAAGAGAAAGTAGGACTTTATCCCCAAAGAGGTAAAGTAACGACCACATCCACAAAACCAGTCATAGCTCAAGACAAATTAGCTAATATAAATACGTTAACAACATAAAACTAGGACAAGCAATACAGTACCCACAATGCATTGCAAGCACTTGAGGGAGCACAGTGCCCGCCACACATTTGAACTTTGATCCCCTCTCCTCTTCATTTACAAACTCCACTTCAGGCGCAGTGTTCAATGTGCAAATATGAGCTGGTTTATGGGTAAATTTTGTATGATACAGCTGATGCCCCGGTGGGGTTTGGGGGGGGGGGGGTAGTTTGTGGCCCTCGTGAGTAACTAATTTTCATGCAATATTCCAATTATATCCCCTCTTGGGACCCAGACAACTCAGCGCTGAGTTTATGGCGACTTTATCGCCCCCTTAATGGTATTTGCTTAAATCCCCAGAGGCTTCACCAGAACAGTCTCACAGGCCTCGCTGGTGAGTTTTCTCTGACCTTATCGCACTATATAGCATTTTCTTTTTGTAATGTCCCATAGCAGCATTTCACTGATGATAGGGGGGGGGGGGGGGTTAAGTGGTTTACAAAAAACAAAACGGAAAGTCTGGTACCTCGGGCTCACAACACTACACGGACAGTATGGTCATTACGTAACGCAATTTTTGGACCCCCCCCCCTCACCTTTTTTTTTTTCTCTCTCTTTTTTTTTCTCAAAGGAAAATTAAACCGAGAAACGACATTTGGGACAAATGTCAGTAATCCCCTGCGCCCTGCGTAAAGGCCGGGCCTGGATGCCCCCCGGGGAACAAATACGCAGGCTGGCGTCGGGAGCGGATTGTAAACACGGGCCTCGGGCGGCCGCACATTTTCCCGTGATGGAGAAGAGCCACCTTCTCTCAACGCCACCTGCAGAATGCGCAAGCCCGTAACAGCGCCACTGCAGCCCCGTGTAGCCCTCTTGATTTATTGCACTGCACGAAATCAGATGAGCGGCGCAGGGGCTTTAAGCGGAAATCTGGTGCACGTTTATGCAACGGCAACACCGGCACCGGGCAGAAAGACGGGGTTGTCGTTGGAAAGGCACTGGCGGGGGGGGGGGGGGGGAATAAAATGCACAGTGGCCTAGTAACACACAGCACACGGTGACAGCCCCCCCGCGTTGGTTTTAGATGAAGATGCGGAGCAGAAATTGCGCTCAGATGGTCCTTACCTCCAGCGTTCGTATCTCTTTTTGTGTCAAGTCGTTGGATGTGGCACATTTGGTCCGTAAACCCTCCAAACTAGAAATGCTTATGTCTATCATGTTCTGCACCAACTCGCACTGCTGCAAGGCTTTCTGCAAACTAAGATCCTGCTCCTCGCTTTTTGTCATCTCCTCGTTCATAGTTTTTGGCGTGCAGTGGTCGTTGTTTCCTCTTTGCACTTCAAAAAAAAAAAATACAATAAATAAACAACAAAATCAGAAACGGAAGGCGGAGGAGCCCGCGGAACAGGGCAACCTGCGAAGCGCCATGGAAGGGGGGGAGGAAGAAGAAGAAGAAGAAGAAGATGTTGTAGCTTTTCACACACGGGGTTTGAGCCGTGACAGAGACGACTCCATTGCGACAACAAATCCTCGCAGTTCCTGCCGCCTCATCAAAGGTGCTTCTGCGGCCAAATCAAACGCAGCGGGGAGACGCGCCGAGCGGGACTGCGCGCTCCGCCTCAGCATCCACCGGGTGCCGCTCCGCTTCCACTGGGTCCAGTTTAAGAAGGAGGGGGTGGGGGGGGGGGGCAAACAGAGAGAAGCAGTTCAGCGCATCATAAGCGGACGTATAGGTGGAGGGGGGGGGCGCGAGGGAGGAGGGGGAGGAGGAGGGGTGAAGGGGGCGGAGGGGGGGTGCTGGTTTTAGAGGTGCTGATGCGAGGATCGGATGCAGGTACTCCCCGTCTCTCTTGGCAGCGGCTGCATCCCGGTTCGCTCCCACCACGCCGACATGTTTCCCGTCAATCAAATCCACAGCAACAGCGGCGGCATCGCATCGACAGGGGCGCCGTCGTGAGGGGCCGCTATCGCGAGATTTGCGTCAGGTGCGGCGGTTTTAGGCCCGTTTCAATTTAACACGTTTTTTTTACCCGTTTGTGGGGGGGGGGCTCTGTGCAATGATCATAGTTTTGTACACACACTTGGATGCTGACACTCATATGCAAACACGTATGTGTGCAGGCTTTACAAACACAGGTTTCCAACTTGCATGCTTACTTTTAGTTCACCCTCCAGCTGCCCTCACAAAGTGCACAGCGTGTCTTCTAGTATGCACTCGATTGAGCATATACTACTTATATTCTTTTTACAGAATTCCTTATTGTTACAGCGAGAACTTCCACCCGCTTGTTTAATTATGTAAGGAGGTATTATACAGTAGGTCAGAATGTTCTGAGAAGTAATGTAATGTAATGTAATGTAATAAAGTAGGAAATACATCCGCATCCTGTTTTTTTTTAGTAAACCACAGATGACAGAAGTTGGTGCCATTCTGGCATGTTTGTGTTTGCCACGTTTTCTCCATCCCCGTGACTATACAGTGAGTTTAATCTCTATTCATTTTTATTGATAGAATACATTGATTTTTTTATGAATTTGGGAGCATTACTAATATGTTTAATTACGATTTTCTTACATATTTATACAAATTACAATATTTGTTTACAATGAGGGTCACTTGTGGAAAGGATTGTACAACGCTGTCTTCACCCTTTTATGAAAGGGCTCAAAGCCAAATCAAATTTCTATATATCTTATCTTATTTCAAGGGGAAAAGACACGGTAGCAGCTGACTCTTGGTTTAACCATTTCCCTTACAGTAAAATAACGTATTTTAAGCTAGAACTGTGTCACATCTCAGTATCTTTCTGTTGTCTCACACACGTTTTAGTGGGCATTCGTGTTGTCACTGAAGCCCCGCCCACAGGGGATGGTAAAGCGATCCTATTGGACGTACGTCATGATGTTGCACGCACGTTTTTGTTGTGGAGCGCGCCAAAGGGCCACTGTGGAAGTGCTAAAAACTCTGGGAGAAGTTCTCACAGCTTTGGGGTAAAGTTCCCAGTCTACGAGACACATGGCTTCTACAAATAAAGGGCCGTTACAGTCCAGAAACTTACCATGGTGAGTTGAAAGTCGTTACTAATTAAAAATAGGTTGAATTAGTTAATGCTAGCTAGCTAACAGAACGTTATGGATTCAGGATAGCAGCTCCTCGCTGTGTTCATCCCGACTAACGTTGGCTTTTCCGGTATACAATCATCTAATCTAATCAAATGAATATTAGCTGCATCGTTAGCTAACAGCTAAGTTAGTCAATGCATCCAGCTAGCATCATAGACGTTAACTATGTCTCTGGCTAGTATCACATTAGCATTGCCGTGCAGCCACTTCAACGCAGAGGCTCACCGGAAGTGTGTCTGCTCGGAAACAATTATAAACAGCGAGTATTTCATATTTCTTTGCGTGCATATTGCAAATGCAAAAAGGCCGAATGGAACAATGCTACCAAACAATTTGACGGCTTTATAAATCAGAACTTAAAGTCTGTTTTTGCCCAAACATATAACCAAGCTTCTTTAACATGACTAATCCCTATTGAAGTTCCTTCTCTTGTTTATACCAGAACACCGAGACTTTTCGGGGTTTATTATAACGCTAAACGGTAACACATCTCAGTGTTGCAATCATTGGTCATCTAGCAATTGAATATTTATTATTGCTTTTATTATTATTATTATTATTGCTATTAACATTATCAATGGACGTTGTCTTTCTTCTGCGGATTCCAGGGTTGAAAAATATAGACCACAGAAACTAGATGATCTGATCTCACACAAAGATATTCTAAGCACAAGTAAGTATGAGTATGGTTTATTAATATAATGTATCCAATCCACAGTTGTGAGATTGTCATTGTACCACCTGTCACCTAATAATGTTGCTTTTAGATGAATAATGGCGCTTAAAGGTTCATTACTGTTTCGTATGTCTTCAGTCCAGAGGTTTATCAGTGAGGAGAAGCTTCCCCATCTCTTGTTCTACGGCCCCCCCGGAACCGGCAAAACCTCCACCATCCTCGCCTGTGCCAAGCAGCTGTACAAGGAGAAGGAATTCAACTCCATGGTGTTGGAGGTACACTAAAAGGGTTTTGCATCGCTTTAGCGACGAGAACACGTTGTCTCTTTGATGTGACCACTCGTTTTTTTTCTCCCGCAGCTGAACGCGTCAGACGACAGAGGCATCGATGTCGTACGAGGTCCCGTTCTGAGCTTCGCCAGCACCAGGACCATCTTCAAGTAGGACAGACGGAAATCCATCCTCCTTAAATCAATTCACGTGCAGCCTGTAGAATGATTCAAACGGCTGCCTCTCCGTCCGTCCCGTCCCTCTCGTCCTCCAGGAGGGGCTTCAAGTTGGTGATACTGGACGAGGCCGATGCCATGACCCAGGATGCCCAGAATGCATTGCGGCGAGGTAAGCCATCTGTTCGGCCCGGGCGCTGCCCGCTGTGAGCCACACGGCTCACTGAGCAGCAGGACAACCGGGGCCAACTGGGGAATTACAGCGAGTCCGCTGTCAGTCAGCCTGAGAGAGAAATATCTGCCGGAGCATTTGTTTCTAAACTATCGTTGTGAAATTCATGCAATGTATATATATATAGCAAACATATATATATGTATATATAGAAGTGTGGAAGTCCTCGACAAGAATCCAGAGGATAAAGTGTGTTTAGAGTGAGTTGTATCAGCGGGGAAACGTGCCACAGTTTGTGTATTATTTCTTATTTTGGGGTTCTTGCGTACAGCTTTTCGTCTTTCCCCGTTCTTAGTTCCATTGATTTCTCACGTGTGTTTCTGCTGCTCTCTTCTCTCTCTCTTTGTGCCCCAGTCATTGAGAAGTTCACTGAAAACACTCGCTTCTGTCTGATCTGCAACTACCTGTCCAAGATCATCCCGGCTCTGCAGTCTCGATGCACCAGATTTCGCTTCGGCCCGCTGTCCCCGGACCAGATGATCCCTCGGCTGGAGCATGTTGTGCAGCAGGAGAGGTGAGTGTGAGAGAGGATGTTTCCCCTCCGTCTACTGGGAAACCAAATCTAATGGAGAAGACGTTTGAAGTTGCTGCTTCCAGAAACTAATCAAGGATGTTGGTTAGTTAAGTGTTACTTGCAGTGACACGTTTGTTTTTGTGGCAGCATTGACATAAATCCCGGTGGAATGAAGGCCATTGTGACCTTATCGTCGGGCGACATGAGAAGATCGCTCAACATACTGCAGGTACGGCCCAGAGGCTCATCTCCATCATTCCACCTCCTTGTGATCAGTCCGTTCTACTCATTGATGGCGTTTTATTATTCCGCCCCGTGTGATTTCAGAGCACCAGTATGGCGTACGGGAAGGTGACCGAGGACACGGTGTACACCTGCACAGGTCACCCCCTCCGCTCAGATATAGCCAACATCCTCGACTGGTCCCTCAACAAAGACTTCACCACGGCGTACAAGCGTATCCTAACGAGACCGCTCGGCCTTCAGGGTTCCCTGAACACACCGCAGCAACGCACATTTAAGATACCACACTAGTTCTACTGTTCTTTAACTGGTCATCCACAGAAATCCTTCAGCTGAAGACGTTGAAAGGTTTGGCCCTGAATGATATCCTCACTGAGGTCCATCTGCTTATACACAGAGGTGAGCTTTTCTCCAACTGAAGGGGGTAACATTTAGATTAAAACCAGCCAACTATGTTTTTAGTTCTTCACATCAGAGCGATTACTCTGATCTAAAGAGGATTAAAGGGTTTAGTTTCTCTACATTAGGATCACTTCTGGCTTCAGGAGGTAGAAGTTGTCCATTCGATTCCCTTTGAATGTAGTTTTATTAGGCCGCAGTGTTATATCTGGATCATTTTGTCTCGTTCCAGTGGACTTTCCTCCAGCGATTCGGATCGGTCTGCTCATCAAGCTTGCTGACATCGAGTACGTGAGATTCCTTCTCGTGAACTAACGTTAATGGCAGAAAGTACTTTAGACACGAGGCCTTCGGACTCATGACGTGTCGTCTCCTCAGGCACCGGCTCGCCTCGGGGACCGATGAGAAGATCCAGCTGAGCTCCATGGTGGCCGCGTTCCAGGCCGTCAGAGACATGGTGGTCAGCGAGGCCTCCTAGACGCACGCCGCCGCGAGGTCCCGTCTCTTCAGCTCTAACCGACAATTTCCTCCGTGACGACCCGTTCTGTGTGTCTCAAACGCCACACTGTTACAAATACAACTAAGAACATGTACATGTGTTAGAATCTGTTTAATAAAACTATTTCATTATGTCCAGTTTCTATCTATCAACAATTAGCATGTGCAGGTAAAGTGCATTGGGTAACACTCATGTGCGCCGTTTTATGATAACAGAAATACATCAGATATTTACACAATAAATTATAATATAAAATTGTGATATTCAAGTGAACATGATATGCGTTATCTTAGTGCAATAAAGGGAATCCTTCATCTTGATTAATTTAAGCGATGCTTCCTGAGCTGTGAAAGCATCTCAATCGGCAAAACAAATATAAAAAAGATCACAACAGTCGCTTCAAATGTCGCTTGTTGCTTTGCGTTAGTGTTCCCAGTCCTCTTCGTCTGAGGAGGAGCAGCAGGTCTCGGGGATGTTCCTGTAGGTGAGGTACTGGAGGATCCTCTTGGGGAGGGGCAGCGGCTCCATCTGGTGGGTGGAGACCGAGTGGCGCAGGACGGACCGGCTCAGGTGGCAAAGGCTGGGCACCGTCCTGGGCGCCTTCCAGAACCTCACGTGGCCGTCTCTGGTTCTGTTACGGGGGGTAAAGTTAAAGAGGGATGGCTAAAGTCTGCACCGCAAATCATTGGAGAACCAAAGCAAATTAATATGACTTATTTTTTAGAAAAACTATGAAGGCCGGTTAAGATGTTTATGTGTGACTGAGTCACCATAGACATCCACTGTGTAGTCGGCAGCGCACTCCTACAGTGCACCATCAGGCAGTATTTCAAAGTGCTGATGAGGGCTGGTTGCTTTACCCTGTGGCGACCACTCCCCCCTTCGGGTGGTACTTGCAGCAGAGCCCGTTGGAGTCTCGGTCGGCTTTCGTCTGCATCACCATCCCTCGCTGCCCCGGCTCCCAGATCCGCAGAGCTCTGCAAACGCAAGCGCATCGGTCTGAAAGCGCTCCGTCGCCAGCGGCGCTGACGTTATGTGAAAAGATTGGCGAGATGGGAGCCGATGATGTAATCACCTGTCGTCGGTGACCATCGCCAAGTGCAAGCCGTTGGGAGAGAACTGTATCGCCGAGATTTGGTTTTGCCCGTAATCATCAAAGAAGTCACTGAGGAAAAGTTGAACAGGTTTTAAAGAATGAGTCACACATCTCAAAACCAACAACAAGGCCGCAGAATTCCGGATACACGTTTCATTCGAGGTGCATTTGGGGAATAAAAACTGTAAACTTACGCCATTGTGGCCAGTTTCTCGGCCGTGTACGGGTCCCAGAGGTCGACCCACCAGCTGGAGCCGCTGAAGGCGGCGGTGGCGAGCACGGCCCCGTCGGGGGAGAAGTCGCAGGAGGACAGGAGGTACAAGGTCTTGTGGATCCCCCCTGCAAGGTTCCTGATGAAGGTGTAAGACCGCAGACTCCACAGACACACCATCTGAGGAGGCGGGATCACACGGGTCTATGTCAGCACTTTGACCATCAATGACGAAAACCAATCAGTACAAGTTGACAGAAATAAAATGGAGTAGCTATAAAAAAAGGAAATGCAGTTGGAAAGGTGAAATAACGGCATCATCTCTTTAGCGGACAATCATTGCAGTGTCGTCGAAAAGCAAACCTGATGCAGGATCACATTCCAAGAAAGTCATCCTTGGTTGACTAAAACAAAGTTGTGCAACAGAAAAATATTTGCCTGCTCGATGGTTCCTGGAGGCGTAAAGAGGGCAGCCGGAAGACTTTAGTTTCGCCTAATCTACGCATGGATGAATATCTATGAAAACTAAATGTCCTCTGGGTCGACGTCACTCGTTTTGGTGTTTCTGTTGTTCGCCTTCGAGTTTCACAGGAAACAACATTGTTTTGCAATGACACAACTCACTCGGTCAAATCTGCCGACAGAGGCGATCATGCTGCAGTCTGAGGACACGCTGCAGCAGCTGATCCAGTCTTTATGGCCGGACAGGACCTGCACCTTTTTACCTACAGACAGACGAAAAAAACTGAGCAAAACCCAACGAGACACAAAACATGAGAGAATGTGACTCATTTACGTAACATAACAATTTGTCCGCTTTCCACCTCTTGCATTGACACAGGAGGTGAGAAATTGTTTTAAGTTGGAACGCTTGGATTTATTGAAAAACTATAAATTTGCGCACACATAATACTTATCAATGCATAACAGGAGGCTCAAGGCTGTTTTCCACTGGCTTCATTCGACACACCAAACCCATTGGGTAACACAGCAAGCCTTTAATGGCATTAACTTTGGCCTGCGTTGTGTTCAGGGACGCTCCGACTCTCTGTTCAGTTGCTGTGAGGCCTCGCGTTTGCCAAACTATAAAAACTGACATGTACTTAATGCATAAGACTTAAGCGTGAAAGTTTGTCCTGTCAAGAAGCTAAATGTCTGTGTTGGATCTCTGAACACACCGGGGCGACGTGATGCCACGCTGGCATAGACGTGTTTGGGGCTGGATTAGAAGTCTCGGTGATTCTTGTTGATATTAGATGAAACCCCTTCTGTCAATATAAGAACATCCGATACGGCTCAAGAAAAAGTCTACAGTAAAAGCCAGCGGGCTGAACATGCAAACGTGGAGACCAGCTTAACCAACAGGTTAATTTGGTCATCTCATTTAATAATCCAACAAAACACAGCATGTTTCATGATGTCATTCAGTAACATCTGACCTGAATGTAAACAAACACTCCTTGACACAACAAACGCTTAGTTTGCGTTGCATTTTGATAAGTAAACACAAGTAAGGACGGTTTGTGAACATCACTCAACATTCTGTTTGCACAAGACAGAAGGCGAAACATCCTTCTGAAACAGTTTGAGGAGTCTGGAGTTATTGAGAAGGTACACAAAAAAACAACACACACACACACACACCTTTCTGAGCCAGGTCCCAAATCCTCAAAGTCTTGTCCCGAGACGTTGATATGAGCGTGAGCGTCCCGTTCTGAGGGAAGACCAGGTCCCTCACGACGCCTTCATGGCCATGGAGGTCAAATACAACGTCACCTGAACATAAAAGACAAAAAGCGGTTTAAAAATCAACCTGAAAACAGCGAAGGGGACACCTCCCCCAGCAGAGAGGAGGCGCTCACCTGTAAACACGCTCCAGATTTTGATCACTCCGTTCTCCAAGCCGGTGGCCAGGAGCAGGCTGCCGTTTCCTTTAGACGACGCTTTAGCCTGCCACGCCGCCGCGGCTGACTTCGGAGGGCGGGGCCCGAAGGCGAGGCCCCACACCGGGTGGCCACAACTGAAGCTCTTGTCTCCTCGGTCGGTCTCTCCGTTCTGACTGTCTCTGTTGGGCGAGAAGAGCATCAAGCGAGCAGATACCACGAGGAGATGAACTCAGATGGAACATTGGGTCAGAGGCTGGTGGTTGAATGATGCTGCCTTCAAGTGCAGTTGGAGACGGACGTAAACAACAGTGACCCTAGTATAACCGGAAAGACCGATTTCAAGGCTGTCCTTTTATATTTAATACATGATTATAGTGTCCTAAAGGATTCCCTGCAATAATATCATTAAGATTACAGGTTATAGTTTTACAATAAATGCCATCAGTCCTTCGTCTTTGTGTATTTTATCGATAATACGATATATCCTTGAACTCTGTGTTCCAGCATTTCAATGGAAAAAACCAAAAGAACTTGATTTATTTCATCTGCTTCACTTTATTTTGCTTCGGCTTCCCCCATACTATTTATTTTTGTACTGACTACCATTAGTAGCTGCATCTTTCTTACATTTTATACCAGGCAAATCGACATGTTAAGTTTAAAAAAACATAGTATTGTTTTAATATTTGGCAACAAAATGCAGTTGTACGAAGATCGTATTACGAGTCCAAAGGCTTCAATATGAATTAATAAGACTTAATTAATAATTAAAGAACTAAATATTTAACTCCACTATAAAATGAAAGCAATCTAATGAATATTTAAAACTTTACACATTGTAATGAAATGCTTTTTCCACCAGCACTTCAAAAAGCAGTTTGTTTCTGTATATTTCTATTTGATGATTGCAGCCCAATGTAATTTCTACTTGCATAACATTTCATTTTGCCACTTTTTAACACAAGTCTCAACAATTATTCATGCCAAATAAAAAAAATTGGTATAATTTTGTTTTAAATCCCTGTTCCCCTCTGTTAAACTACACTTGATGGTAATAACTAAATCAGCCTTCAACAGATGTTTCTGACCCTATGTGGTTGGAATTTCCATCCTTGTTTGACATAAAGCTCACATGTACGAGCGACACCTGAACGCGTCCCGCGTGCATCAAACGTCCCGACAGAACCTACTCGGAGTCCAGAGGCCAGGCGACCACCCAGACGATCCCGTGTCCCATCGACCAGGCGAACCAGGCTCCGTCCGGGGAGAAGTCCACGCTCCAGGTCTCGCATCCCGCGCGGCCCTCCAGGGCCGGAGGACGCCTCGTCTTCAGCTCCAGCACCAGGGCCGGGTCGGACGCTGGAAGAGAGAACCGGGAGGGCGACGCAAATTCAACGGCTGAGCGGACTCGCCCTCCAACCGCCGCCGGCGGGGAAGAGCTCGCGCGCCGCCGCCCGCCCCCCCCTCCTCCTCTAGAGGTCTAACCGCTGCCTGGTTACCGGCCGTGGCGATGGCAACGGGCGCGAGCTCGGGTAATATGCGACTTACGTGTCTGCCGTAGGTCCGCGTTAGTTTCCGTGGAGCACATAGTTTCCCCTCTTCACATGCCTCGCTTTAACGCCGTGGATGCGTCGTCTCCGCGTGACGGCAGCCGGCCATTCGCCTGAAGGGCGGACGGTCCCGTTGAGTGCGCAGAGGGACGGAGGGAGCTGCGCTCGGGCTTGTCCGGGGCGCGATGTGACAAGCGGGCCAGTGAGGGGAAAACAAGCTATGCAGTTGACTTCCGGTTCGCCCGAGTCACTCCGTGGGCTGCCATTGGCTGTGGTGTCGCCAAACGTCATCGAGTTTTTCCCTTTACATTACGTAATCTGAAAGCAGCGCCACGCCCCCTCAGTAAATTCGATCGCAGCGTGCAGGGATCGCATTGTTTCCAGCGGCGAGTAATGTGCTCATTAAGACACGACGGGTCAGTTAACACAGCTGATCTGATTGCGGTTAATAGTGTTATATTCTTGCCAAGAACCCACTAGTCTTTTTTTCTTCTTTTTTACATACTTTTTATATTTATCACAATAGCGTCATTTTAACTTGTTTATGTCCAAACACTCCAACTTTGAAAAACAAAGTATCTAACCAATAACAAAAGGCCGCTAGGCCAGAAAGTATTTTGAAAAAAGTTTTTTTTAACGCCATGGTAATGATGAAAAACGTTGTGGAAAATAAAAGTAAAAAAATATTATATTAATATAAGAAACATTTTTTGAAAAAAATGTAAGTCAAAAAACGTTTTTTTTTTTTTAAAGTCTGGTTGAAAAATGTAATTAAAAAAATATGCTAGGTACAAAAATGTCGTGGTACAAAGTACGTATTTCCAGATTTAAAAGTGAATATTTCTCCCTCCCTTTCCAACTAAACCATAAGTTTTAGGTCACACTGTGTCCACTTTCAGGATTCAGGGGACAAAACTTAAGTTTTTGTCTTTTAGCTTCACTACATCCTACGCAAATAAGACAATGAGAAACTCACTCCACCGCATTCTTTGAATGGTTCTAGAGTTTCATCCTGGGCTGGGATCGTCACGGCTCACCTCCCCATGATGTGTAACTAAGCATGGTGGGTATGTACGAATAGATAGTGTCACATCAGTCCGTTTCAAACAGCCTCATTTACTGCACAATTCTCAATATCAGAGCAACACGTTCACAATGCTGTACAAAAGAATAACAGAAATAAGCTTACAATTTTTTTTAAAAACCCTTAAAAATGACAAATTCAAAGGAGATGATTTTTTTTTTGTGTATCTTCCACCAATTTTTTTCACATTGTCCTTGGGAGTAAATAGTATTCACTGAAATTAAAGCACTCATCTAAAATGACCCCAAAACCTATAATGTCAAAAGATCCCCCGGCGGCTCAGTCTGCGCCGTGTCTTCCTGTGGGCTCGTGTCAGCTGTCTCTGCATCCTCATGATCGCCTAAAAAAGAAGAAAAAAAACATTGTTAGATAACAGAAACGCCTTCTTTAACAAACCGCCACCTCAACGACGTACTCGACGGGATGCGATGGATCTGGACGAGCGTCGTCTGGTGTCCGTTGGCGATCGGGGGAAGCTGTGGAACGGCGTCCCGAAAGATCTGCTCGTCGTCGGACTCCACCAGACTCAGCACGTCTCCGCTGTCCTCCTCCATTTGCCTGAAGGGCAGAAACACCTCGACATTAAAGTGCGTCTGCAAGGTACGAGACAGCGGCTGCCCGGGACCAGTTTACACGGCTTCACATCTAGACGTGTCAACGTGAGGTACTCACCCAAAGCCATTACCTAAAAACAAAACAGGAACAGGAATTAGTACAGGCGGATTGTTGGGATTTACACTCGTATACAACATTAAAAATGTACTAGATGAGACGTCGACACTTCCTGGCTCACATGCATGAATAAAACAAAAAGTTACCCAGGCACATGCGGTGCCGGTTGAAGTGAAGGGTTTTAGCCACGATGACGGCGGATCCCACGATTAGAGCAGCTATGAAGACCCCGAGGATCACGCCGGTGTACGCGGAGGAGGCTGCAGGGACAAAACGAGAGAGGGGACGACCAGCGGGCTCGTTTAAATCTGGTCCACTGCAAACAACGACGCGCACGTTATCGATTCGCGATTCGGCTCCGCTCACTCAACTCTTCACAGTGAGGTAGACCTCCAGCTCGCGGACGGCCAGCGGGTTCTCGCTGCGGCAGAAGTAGACGCCCTCGTCCTCCTTGCTGATGTTGTGTATCGTCAGCCGGCGGGCGGGGCCATCGTTGAACAGGACGTACTTCGACCCGGGGACGATGTCCTCCTGCTGGAGGCCTCTCTTCCAGGTGGTGTTGGCGGGCGGGAGGGACACGTCCTCGGTGCACGTCAGAGTGACGCTGGTGGCCGCCAGCGCCGTGACCAGAGGCTCGCCTTCAGGGTACGGCGATTCTGGGAGAGAAGGGCGAGCATTGGGCTACGAGCATGAGGGTAAAACATCTGGACTCAAGCCGGCATCAGAGGGACTACAGCCCTTCAAAAATTGGTTAAACAGATACTATTGGAGATTGACAAGGACAAACCAACATTCAGAAACAAAGACCGAAAAAGGTTCATTTTCTGGTGAAAAGTAACTTTTCAACAATATTCTATTGACCTCCATTGCTCTGCATTTGAGGAAAGATGGATCTTAAAGCATCCGCTGACCAACCCACATTACCTCATACATCAGAAAGCGTGGCTGGATATTATACCTTATGTCTTTGTTTCTAGAAAGTATATTTTAAATTGGTAGTCTGGAAAAATGAGCGCAAAAGACTAAATCATGTCCACTTCATTGTGAACCTCGGCAACAGATCCCTTAAAACCTGGACAAATAAACACCAGGCTATATTTGACTGGTGGTAGCAAAATGTAATTTAACAAAAATAAAAAGGAAAATTGGATGAAAGGAACCTTTAAATCAATTAAGGAATTAAGTAAACACTGTCAACAGTCCACTTGAAGAGTGGCGAGTGGAAAGCGCATTAAAGACTCAGCGGTTCGCTTACTGAGGGTAAACGAACACGACGTCTCCGTCCCCGCGGCGAGCGCCGGGTGCCGGGCCGCGCACCTCAGCGTCTGCCCGTCCGACAGCGCCGAGCGGTTCAGCATCAGCGACAGGCTCTCGCCGCGGTCCGACGCGTAACCGCTTCCCACCCGGTGAGCCGGCGGGTCGCCCTGGTCGTCGCCGTCCCCCCAGAGAAGCGTCGGGGTCGGGTACGCCCCCGACCAGGTGCAGTTGAACCGGACTTGGGAGGGGTCCCGTGCCGGCGCCCACGCGCAGTCTGGGCGTCGGTCTGGGACATCTGGTCGGGACATAAAACATCAGTGAGGGAAGCTTAAAAATAGAAGATATTTCTCACAAGACATCCCACATCAAAACTATATTATATTTACATTATAGTGTACCAATACATTTCCTGCAAAGAATGTTATGTTATTTTGTATTAATTATGGAAACATTCTGAGAGGGAAAGTTCAATTCATTTTCATTAAATCATTTATTGATTTCCGGAGGAATTTCCTCGGAAGATCTTCTTAATATAGAGCCACGTAAATATTGATTTACTAAGCCTTTATTATTGAAAACTTTACTCTCCAAATGCAGCACATGCTGTTCTCCCTTGTTGAGAGAAAAAGTACAAAGGAAACCATTAATTCTTTCTATAAAGCGTCGGGTTCAAAAAAGAGGAAACCACGGCTGGAGCTCGCTTTGCCCTTTAAAAGGGGAAATTGACTACAAAACAGGACATGCTGTGATTGTTCAGAATTCAGGAAGTCTATTCAATGAATCATTATCACCGCGGATAAAACTGAGGTCACGCGGAAAAAACTATTGCAACATCACCATAAATTACTGGGCTAACTCGATATATGTGCTTGTGCAGCCCAAATGACCATGGGAAGGGGATTGTGGGTATCCCGCTCGTGGTACTTACAGTACACCAGCAGCTGGGTGCTCCTATTGACGGCCTGACCGGAGACGGGGTTGTGGGCCCTGCAGCTGTAAACGCCCTGAGCGCCGGGCTGAACGTCTTCTATCCTGAAGTCCAGCGTGGTGTTGGCGGTGGAGGTCAGCGAGTCGTTGCTGGACGAGGCTCCCGAGAAGGCCCAGGTGAGCCGCTGAGACGGGTAGGACGAGCCGGAGCAGTGGAAGGAGACGCTCGATCCCCGAAGGACCACGAGCGTCCCGTTGGAGAGAGCCGTCGCCGGGCCGACGGACGTGGACACATTTTCTGGGCCTGCTGAAAAGGAGAAAAAAAAGTTAATTAGATTGAATCTGTTATTACTCGATTATACAAAGATTCAAGATTCAACATTTTTTATTGTCATTTACACACGCCCTGTGTATTGAAATTCTTGTGCTTGCCTAAAATAAAAATAAGAATACAATATTTACATAAATATACATGAAATAAAAAATAAAAAGGAGGTAAGGAAAAGGCAGAAATGAGGTGATAAAGAAAAGTGCAAAACTAAGCAGGTTGTAGAAGAAAAAACTTAAATTAAATGTGTGCAATATAAATTAACAGTACAGTAACAGTAAGGATTCAGTTAGTGTTGTTGTGTGATAAGTGAATTGTCCCATTTGCCAGAGCTATTCACATCTGGACGTGATTTAAAAATGAATTGTGGGTTCAATCCAATTTTACAACAGAGTAGTAACTAGTAAGTAACAACTGTAAAACGAAGCTTTGTCAATGTGTTATAAAAGGTAGTTATTGAATTAGGGATAAAAAAAGAGAAAGCTGAATTATTAGAATACAAAACAACTTAATAATTAAAGAAAAGTAAATAAACAGCACAATAATTTAAAAAAAAAACTAATATCCATTTCTTAAGAAAAAAAACATTCTGATAGTCTTTGAAAGGTTTCACTTTTAACATGATTATCTTTCCGTTTGGTTAAAAAAACGGACCTACAACAATGATACATACATATAGAACATGCATATATTCCTCATCACACTTACTGCTTACGCGCAGCGAGACCCGCGCGTGGAAGGTGTAGTTGCCCGGCAGCGTGGAGCTGCACCTGTAGGTGCCCTCGTCCCCGGGCGCCACCCTCCCGATCCGCAGACTGCCGTCATTGGTCACCGTGACGCGCTGCCCGGCCGGGGCGGGGGTCTGGGACGAGGCGACCTCCTGTCCGTTTTTCACCCACGTCGTGAGAATCGGTGTCTCGTTACCGACGGCGTAACACGGAAGTGCGGCGACGTCGCCCGGTGCCGCCACCAGGGCCGTTTCGGTGGAGTCACTATCCGAAACTGCCGCTTAAAAAAAACAAAAACAGAGAGCGTGAGAAACAAACTCACCTGCGTTACCTGGCTGCGCGCGCGGCCATCGTTTAAAAAAAACAAAACTCACCTGTGGCGCACAAACAAAAGTGTAGAATCGCTGCAGTTGCGACTATCTTCATGATAGCTGTGCAAGTGGCGACATCGCCTTCAAAAAGGAAAACAACAACCGAAACCTGTCCGGCTAGTCCACCTGTTCCACCTGCGTGACACGCGGAGACACCTGTCCGCCCATTACGGCCCACAGCGCGCGCTCTGGAGGGGGGACCCGGCTGACATGATGCGGCTTCAGCCCCTCCGCCGACCGCGGCCTGCGTTTATTCCGGCACCCTGATCCGGGGACTTCGGCAGGAATAAACCACACCCCGACCTCACCTTGTTAAAGGGACAGTAACCCTGCCTTTCATTTCTTCTTCTCGGGGGTGTAATAACCGTGGTGTTATTTTCTTCAGATATGTACAACCTTTAATTTACAAATGTATTTAGGTGTATCTTGTCCATTGCTGACCATGGAAACAGCAGTTGAGGAAACATCTGTAAGGACTGTTTACTTTTCAGAGAAGCATATAAATACCGTGAAGTAGAAATAACAGCTGCTCGCCTATGCATTTATACAAATGTTATACAGTTGAAATACCTACAAGTCCTCACAGTAACTTCAATCGTTTTTGTAAAGGTAGAGAACTTATATAAATAACACAACGTGGTATAAAATCAAGAAGTGCCATTATCAGGTGATGCAAAGCAACATTTCCAGATTGTAAAAGATAATAAAATGCATGGACAACACATGTAAACATGCAAGGAACTCTACGTCACATGACATTATAAAAAATGCAATTTTGATTCATAACATTGTGTGAAACTGAGAAAGGTGTACAAGAATAACAATAAAAAACAATTTCACCTCACGTTGTGTGTCTCAATGCCTTTATGTCTCACGCTATGTTATTGGGCCTTCGAGACAGATTAGTTGGCCGGTGATTTGAAAACAACGACACCGACCACTGAGAAGAAATCCAAGTACTTTTGATGAGATCCGTTTTGATGGCCGTCATCCTTCTTCACTGCCTCGTTGTTTTATGAACACCTCCTTGGATACCGTCCATTCAGAGGCCATTTGTCAGTACAATCCTCGCTCCTGCTGTTCCCTGCTGCCACATTTCCTCTTCATCACAGTACAATCACTGTTCAGGTCTAATCGGATGAGGCTACCTGCTGTGTGGGGCCCCGGGGAAGGCAGCGGTGCAACACAAGGCAGCGACTGCAGATTTTTGGGCAGTAAACATGGGTTTGACTGTGTGAGTGTGTGTCAATGTGTGCGTGCATGAGGGTTTGAACTAGCAGTAAAATGATGAGTTGCTTATTTTGATGGTAGATATATGTAATAAAACAGAAATAAGACATCATGTGAACCATTCAATGAAACAGCTTCAGTGCAAAGCAAAATCACACTGTTGACAATATGGATTTAATGCCAAACACGGCAGCATTTATAACATTTATACTGTCAGACCGATGTGGACGACATGGAAAACACAACAAAGCAATGAATGACGCGTTACTTCATCGTTGTATGTCTACAGTCTACAGGTGGAATTTGATGGTGTCATTGAATCAGTGATGTAATAAGAATCCACTATAGAATGTAAACCTGGATCTAGAATTCCAGTTCCTCTTCTCTTGTGTTCACATTCTGTGTCTTGACTCAAAGACTTCGGGGGACACGACAGCGGCCAGCAGACTCTCGCACTTAGGAAATCAAGATGAGCGACAAAAGCAAGTCGCTACTGGAGTCTTCCTCGGAGTTCAATGTCCTCCGTCTGCGCAAAGAATTCTGCGACGCGGTGGTCCGAGTTGAGGACGTAGCTTTTGAAATCCACAAAGCCATCCTGAGTAAATGCAGCATGTACTTCACGTGAGTTGGTTTACTGATATTGGGAGGGTTGGTGGGACAGGGGCTTCAAATGAGGAGAAGATAATGGTTAGTAATTTAAAGTGTGAGCGAATTATGACAAAATCTAATGGAGTTACATTAATGGAGCATTTGTGTGACTGTTTGACATTGAGAAGAAGTTGTTGTGTGTTCAGTAAAGTGACTAAATGAATTGTATTTAATGCAACAAGTCACACACACTAGAGACAGTGTTTCCCATAGGTTTGCATCTTTAGGGGGGGTATGAGTCGGGCAAACGAGCGAGATGAATTGTAGATGGTCGAGACTTGATTTTATCTGTGCTTACTTAAAAAAAAAAACACCGTCAATGTGACAATGAGAAGAAGAAAAACCTGAAATCCGTTTCCAATGCTCCTCAGCGCTCTCTTCAGACGCTGGCCACCTCCGGACAGGAACGTCTTCCACATCCCCGGCGTGTCTCCTCGCGCCATGCAGCTCATCATCGAGTTTGCCTACACGGGCTCCGTCGCCGTGACGGAGGAGAACGTGCAGGAGCTGCTGCTGGCGGCCGACCAGCTCAACGTGTTGGACGTGGTGCGAAGCTGCTGCGACTTCCTGGCCGGGCTGCTCAACGCGGAGAACTGCGTCGGCGTCTTTCAGTTCACCGACGTCTGCTTCTCCCGCGAGCTGCGGGACAGGGCCTTGAGCTACATCGCCGGCCGCTTCGAGGAGGTCGTTCTCTCCGAGGAGTTCCTGCAGCTCTCCGCGTGTCAACTCGCCATCATCCTGGGCCGGGACGACCTCAACGTGAGGGAAGAGAGCGCGGCGTTCGAGGCCGTCCTGCGCTGGATCGCCCACCGGCCTCAGGAGCGGGAGGGCAACATGGCGAGGCTGTTGTCTAAGGTAGGAGGAACTTGCTTTGCTAGGTCTGGTGTCGGATTTCCTTCTTCAGGGATCGGCATGTTGTCGTTAATCTGAATCGGCATCGAAGGTCCATTGTAACACCTTCGTCCGATTGAAGTCAGGCCCAAGACTTGGGGTGTGTTTAGGTGTGTTTTCCCGCTTGTGCCAAGGCACATTTGTAGAAGCAGGCTTTGAAGGTGTGAACTTGATGTCGAATGGACTGCCAGATAGTTGGTTTTCTGCGGCGACTGACATCTTCTGTCATTAGCACCACACGAACCAACATCAAAATGTGATTCCAGAGAAACACACTCTTCAAACGCAACTTATTGATTCATCTACCGTAGCTCGCAAAGAAATAACTTGAGACCGCAACTCGTAGATCGCCACACAACATTTCCCACCATTCAAACATTCGCTCCTGTCTTTCCCCTTTTAGGTCCGACTGGCCAATCTGAGCACAAACTACATACTGTTCAACGTGATGTCCAACAAGCTGGTTAATAACAAGGACTGCCAGGCCGTGGTCGCAGACGCCATCAACACCATCTCTTTAGTCATGAAGTACCCGAACTCTCACATCGCCAAAACCATTGCCCGACCCCGCCTGCCCAACGCCATCCTGCTGGCCATCGGCGGCTGGAGTGTCGGCGACCCGACAAACAGCGTGGAGGCGTACGACGTCCGCACCGACTGCTGGCTCGACGTGACCAACGCCAACCAGCGGCCCCGCGCCTACCACGGCTCCGCCGTCTTCCACGGCAGCGTCTACTGCGTCGGCGGCTTCGACAGGACCGAGCACTTCAACAGCGTGTGCCGGTTGGAGCTGAGCACGCTCACCTGGCACCAGGCGGCGTCCATGAACCACCGGCGCTGCTACGTGAGCGTCAGCGTGCTGGCCGACTTCATGTACGCCATGGGCGGGTTCAACGGGCACGAGCGGCTCAGCACGGCGGAGCGCTACCGGCCCGACATTAACCAGTGGAAACTGATCGCGCCGATGCACGAGCAGCGGAGCGACGCCAGCAGCACAACGCTGCACAACAAGGTGGGCGAAGGGGGGCGGACCGGAAGTGGGGGGGGGGTAGGAGCGCTAATTGGATCCGGTCTGACTGAAGGTTTTCAGCAGCCTATAAGATATCTGAAGAATTTATGATGGTGTGTGCACAGAAGTGATAAGAGGGGTGTGTGTGTGTGTGTGTGTGTGTGTGGCAGGATTACAGACTGCTCTATTTGAGGGAGGAAGGTGTGAGTCGAAAGGTCCACATGTTAAACATTCAACACATTTCACTTATATGTGCGGCACTGACACACCTCACTGGTTGACTTAGTGCATTCCCCTTTTGAACAGTTTGATTGCAGCTTTTTCGTAAGGTGATTTCAATATTTCCATAGAAATTCGACTTAAATATATTCTCAGATGATGGGTCTTCCAAGAGTAAAAATATATCTGTAAAACCAGTTGGAACCAAGAGAAGGGATAGTTTTGTTACCACCACCCCCCCTTTTCTCTCCAGGTTTACATATGCGGTGGCTTCAATGGGACCGAGTGCCTGCAAACAGCTGAACGTTACGACCCAGAGACCGACCAGTGGACCATGATCAGCCCCATGAGCTGCCGGCGCAGTGGAATCGGCGTCACCACGTATGCAGACCAGGTGTTTGCAGTGAGTACACGAAGCGCTCCGACGAGTCGGAAGGGGGTTGATTGCAAGTTCAAGGTTCAAGTTTCCCACCCGTTGTATTTTTTTTTGCCCTCCCAAAAAGGTCGGCGGCTTCGACGGCGCCAACCGCCTGCGCAGCACCGAGGTCTACAACCCGCTGAGCGACGCCTGGGACGAGGTGCGCCCCATGCTGACCCCCCGCAGCAACTTCGGCATCGAGGTGCTCGACGGCAGCCTCTTCGTGGTCGGGGGCTTCAACGGCATGACCACCACCAACCACGTCGAGCACTACGACGCCGCCACCGGCGAGTGGACGGAGGCCTGCAGCATGGACGTGTTCCGCAGCGCGCTGAGCTGCTGCGTGTTCTCCAGGCTGGCCAACATGAGCGGGTACGTCGTCTCCCGGGACCGCGGCCGCGACCCGGTTGTTGAGGAAGGGTCCGAGGAGTCGGGGGACTCGGGCTGAGAGAGGCCTGTGTCGTTGTCCAAACCAGCAAGACTTACACAAAATACTCTAATAAAGGTCCTTGGGTGTTAAACTGCTGTCACCAAGCTGCTTAAACGTGTTCAGTTTGTGCGACTTGTAAGTTGTCTGTCCCATGAGGACACGTGGTTGATACAAAACGCACCACTGCAACAATAACTCCTAAATACGATGAAATGTGGGGTGCATTCTGCAGTCTCCCCACTGCCGCACCATTCAATATATTACTCTCAGGTTCAATCAGGGACATTTTAGCCAACTCCTGAACAGATGGTAAATACTTTGCACAGGAACTTTCTCAGGCTACTTTTCACACATGATTTTACAATATTTAATTTTGGGGGCTTCAATCAAAATTGTGTGTTTTGTCGACTCAGCAGTCACCTTATTTCAATACTCTTTTACTAATCATCTTAAAGTAAATCAGCATCAAGTAAACAGCATTTACAGTAACGTTAGTTGACCCCCTTCAATGAAGCGGCGACTACAAAGAAAAAGGTACTAATGGTAAAAATTGTCCCCCTGTCAATCTGATAGCTGGTGAGCTGAAACCCCCTGTGGAGTGGAGGAGTAAAAGAAAAAGGGAAGGAAACAGGAAAATAGAGAGAAAGGAGAAAAACTTATGAATCTAAATATATAAATCGTTGCTGTCACATGACTCATGTGTCCCTAGTTATTAAAACCACTAGAACAATCTGGAAAGTCTGACCCAAGAAAGTGTGTCAACGGAGCATGCGAGGTGGAGGAGGGACCAGCTAGGACTTGATTGACGTGAACTCCAGCAAATCGCAATCCACGTTGCGGAGACGTGACGGCGCCCTCTGGCGGCCTCCTGCAGCCGGTGTAACGTGTGTTATTCACTCGTTGTACAATTGTTCGGAAATATTCATATTTTACAACAAAAGAAGCGGCAGTAAGTTAATGTGCTTCTCATAGTTCTCGACAAAGACATATATTAGCGAACATTCATTTATTAAATTAGCGAACATTAATTTAGCATGTCACTACTACGTCATAAACAACTAAACGTTGAAATACAAAATTTAGATTAAAACTTGCTAAGATACTGTACGAAAGAAACTTCGAAAACACGACTAACATCTGACGTTTGTTTAAAGCTAATTTACCGCCAAACGAAAACGACATTTTGGAAAAGGACAGTATAACTTGTTTGCTTCAGGAGTCGCTGTATGACCGGCGGTACCTGAACGCGGCACGGTACAGTTGGTCTTTCCTTCGCCACAGTCACAGTGTCTAGAATCCGGACTATACGTCGAGATGCCGGCGGACATAAGCCAGTGGACCGGGCCGCTCTCCCTGCAGGAGGTGGACGAGAAGCCGGCACAGCCTCTGACAATCAAATACGACTCCGTGGAAGTAGACGAGCTCGGCAAAGTGCTCACGCCGTCACAGGTTCGTCGGCTAACGTTAGCTAACCTCAATGTCGCTAAGCTAACTGCGCAGCTAACTTAGCTTAGCCTCGCGCCTTCTTTAGCCGATTGACTTTCCTACATATTATTTGTTAGAAGTTATGAACGTTATTGAATTAACGCTGCTTTGCAATCAGCAGTGTTTGGGAAGAATGAGTTAAGCGACACGTTGTCTCCGGACGTCATAATGTCCACACCTGCTCGCCTGCAGGTGCAGCGCAGACCGACCGCCATCGACTGGGAAGGATGCGACCCCAGTAAGATGTACACTTTGGCCCTGACCGACCCCGACGCCCCCAGCAGGAAGGACCCCAAATTCAGGTGAGAGGAGCAGGACTGATGATCATCAGGCGAGGAATGTTTTTAAGTTGTGAGGTGAAAAAGTTCTGTCCCGGTAACGTCTCCTTAAAACATAAAATCCAGTCTTACTTTGTCCTTTCCTTGCAGGGAGTGGCACCACTTTCTGGTGGTCAACATGAAAGGGAACGACGTGTCCTCTGGTTGCGTGGTGTCCGACTACGTGGGCTCTGGTCCTCCCAAAGGCACAGGTGGGACGAGATGAAGTCAAAAGCACAATCAAAGCCTAGATGATCGACCCAGTCGGGTCCACGTGTCGCCTGGATTCTCAGCGAATCACCGTCCTTCGGTTCCCCCGCAGGTCTCCACAGGTACGTGTGGCTGGTGTACGAGCAGCCCGCCAGCCTGTCCTGCGACGAGGCCGTCCTCACCAACCGGTCCGGAGACGGCCGCGGCAAGTTCAGGGTCCAGAGCTTCAGGCTGAAGTACAAGCTGGGAGCCCCGGTGGCAGGAACCTGCTACCAGGCCGAGTGGGACGACTACGTTCCCAAACTCTACGAGCAGCTCGCCGGAAAGTAACGAACGCAGGCTTAAAAAAAAAACCGGCAAAAAGCTTTTGCTTCTGAATATGTTAATTTTCACCGTGCAATCGAAATGCCTTCTGATCCTGTGGTGACATGAAAGTAGCTTTATAATTTACATTTGGATTATATTACTACAGTTGGCTGTTCCCTGGCTGGACAGTTAAGGCGGTCAGGAGTCCTTGTCGTGACCTTTTACCCAACATACCTTCAGTGACCTTTGCTCGAGATGTGATTTTTACCCGCCTGATTCCACTCCATGACTGAATCATTACAGTACGTTAAAATACTGCGGCTGGATCTCCGGATGAGTGTTTTACTCAATGTTCAATATGGAGTTTTATGAATTGTTTGTAAAACATTGAAAGAGACTCAAACATATTTAATATGTGCCGTTTTCTTATTGCTGTCCAACATTATTCACATCAGACATTCATAAACACAGTTTGTGTGATGAGCACTTTATTTACAAATATAATTAAAAGCTCTGACAGATTCATGCTTTCTTTTAACCTGGAAAAAAATTAAAGTGCATGCAATAATAAAGCATCATACTGTTCTGGTTGATAAGAAAATACACAGTTGTGTAAAGCCCCAAATTAATAATCAGATGAGAACCCCATTGATACACGACTGAACCTCAAATACTATGAGGAGGGGGGAGGGAAAAAATTCAGCTTTAGAAATTATTTTTTGATTTGCGTGACAGTTAAAATACAATACGAAAATAAGTAAAAGCTCTCCATAAATCCTTCTATACACAAAGTACGAGTCCTCCCCCCCACCTTCTCCGACTCCCCCCCATGAAGCCCTTGTGCTAGCCAGGAGTCGGACTTCACGTGGATTATTATTCACATTGGCTGCCAGTGCAGAGTAATCAGTACCACCCAGGTAGAGTGTCAGGATTCGCCCCCATCCCCCCCAATAATCAACCCCCCCCCCCCATCAGCTTTATGATACGTGTACCTGGATGCACATTATCGTTGTGTCTCAAAGTATCAAATTTGTCATAAAAATGGTTTTGGGGCTGAAGGATGCAGCTCAGACTGACGCCTGCAGAGGGAACAGTTGTTTGATTTATCACTCGGACCCCCCTGACCCCCCTGACCCTCCCCCTAAAAACGAAACGGAATCACCTCTAACAAAGCGTGGTTGTGGATCGATGTCGCTCGGTTTTCTCTCATCTTCACACACGAGACACCACTGTGACTACGTCAGAACAAACAAACACGTCGACAGGAAGTCACCCAGCACACCTCTTTCTTGTTGACACCACGAGGGGCGGATTTCAGGTGGGTTTCAGGGTGCGGAGGGGGGCTGTGGGGGAGAGGGGGGGGCACAAACCAGAAATCTCACCTCATTCTGGAGAACGTTTCTGTTACTTATTTTTTTTTGTCTTTTTGCTTAGTTTTTTTTTTCCTCGCTTCCGAGTGAGTTCGCCTGAGGGCTCCAGCAGCAGTGAACACCTGCACTGTCAGGTGAGGGGAGGGGCGTGGCCGAGGCGAGCCGCCCCTCATCTGTAGTCGTCCTTGGGGAGGTCGAGGGTGCCCAGGTTGCCGAAGCCCAGCCGCATGCTCTCCATGTCGAAGCTGTCGATCTCCCGCTCCTGGCGCTCCAGCAGGTGCTTGATGCGGTCGGTCCGCTCCTTCTGGACGGAAACCAGCTCCTCCTCGATCTGCAGGACGGACGGGTCACACTGTGATGTTACTCTACATTGTTTAATCAAAGCTTGAAAGTTAGAGAAGAAAGAATCCAATAGTCATTCTCAAAACAAGGTTATGTTCGCACTCTAAAGAAAATACATTTTTCTTTAAAAAAAAAATTCTAAATAGAAAACCAAGCTCCACTGTGGAATCGATGTTCACTGAGTCCTGAGCCAGCAGGGGGCGCCACAGGCCCAATGAAACGAGGATCAACGGGATTAAATTACACCTGTGTTTGAAAAGGTGACATCATCAGTGTCCAATACAAGCAAAGAAATGAGAACTTGGTGAATTCACAACAAAGCAGACGGGCGACTGCTTGTATAAATAATAAAATCGAGTCAAGATGAAGGATTCAACACCTCAGGATAGAAAACAAACGGCTGTTGTTTGATATTTGAAATGCTGGATGAGGTTTGCTCGGTCGACGCGAGATTCAAGCCGCGTGTCGTGTGGGAGCCGACTTTAGTTCCTCTAAACACTCCACGGAGAGAACGACGGGACCTTTAAGGTGTAGCGTCCCAACAGAGGAACAGAGCTCCGTGTGTGCGCGGACACTTTATAAAAACAACATTTTATCTCTTTTCTTTTTTAAAAGGTCTTTCTGAGATGAAACCTCATTTTTTAATATTAAATGTGTCTCATATTAACCATAAACCGACCCTTTCAGTGTAAATTACAAAACACTGTCTCCTCTACAAGTACTGTGGTTTGTGGTGCGTTGGTTTCCATGACGCCACAGAGGTGTTGCCGATGTTCCCGTCGACCCCCCCGGAGCCGTTACACATCCTCCATGCGGCTCACCGTCCGGGATACGAGCCGCTGGACGCAGACGGACACGCGCCCTGTGTAATACTGAGAAGGCGCCGCAAGTTGCATCGCTCAGGTTGTCCCCCCCCCCCCCTCCAGCCCCCCACACCCACAGGTGCACACACCACTGCAATACGGCAGGCTGACCGACCACTGAGCACGCACAGAGAACTCCAGACTCCACCGAAGAACAACAGAGCTCTCTGAAAACCATGACATCATCCCAGTCCATCGCGGTGCAGGTCCGCGCGCGGCCAGCAGAGGGCGACGGACCACCGCCGAGGCCCGCTGGGCCACCAGAACTGGATCTGGGGTAAAGGAGGGATGGGGAGGGGGGGGGCTGCTTTTCCAAACGTCTCTTCCTTTGTTGTCGGAGTGCTGTCTACGAGGCCGTAGCGATGACGTCTGATGTGATCACATGACATCGGCGTACGCGGCGGCCTGGCTGAGCGGTCCCGAGCGAGATGCCGAATCACAGCGAATCGTGTCCCAATTGATGCAGAGCGTAAGCGTCGAGTGACGAAGTTTCAACGTTATTATGGTGTGAGAAATGGTTGTCTGCTCCTCGCAGGACGGCATCGGAGGTGGATGTAAACGTGTATCCGGCCCTCGCCGGGCTGTTTGCGTTTACACGTTTGTTGCGGCCCGTGTACGTTTGTCGACTTGTACCTCTATAAGCGTATTTTACGCGGCGCAAGGACAGAATACAGATGAACAAACAGCGCTGTCTGCGTCTCTTTGTGCAGGATGGGGTCACTGTGTGGGGTCGAACTGGCCCAATGATGTCATACGTTTATAAACTCGAGGTTTTATGTTCCTTTGCAGTTCTACGTTGCATCCGACTAACGGTTATCGTGTAAATTGTGCTGAATAAGTTTATTTTCTCTTGTTTGTTTTTCTCTGTTGTTGAAGAAATCCATTAGACAAACTGTCGTGTTTATAGCAAACTGAATAAATAAAAAGGATTAGACATCGTCATCGCCTGTACAACTGAAACATGTCCTACAGACCCGTAGTAAAAAGATGAAACGCCAGGTGTTGGTTCAGCACACCTTTTGTTCCAGGTGGGCCCGTCGCAGCGACACCTTCTGCTCCAGCTTCTGCTGCTCGCGCTCGTGCTGCGCCTCGGTCTGCATCTTGATCTTGCTCTGGTAGGCGTTGAGCAGCTCCATCTCCTGCTGCAGCTGCTGCCTCAGGGCCTGGCACTCGGCTTCCTGGGCCTCGTCCAGACGCAGCTGACACGGCGAAGCCGCAAAGACAAAGGGCCACAGGGACAGACAGGAGGGGGAAGGGGGGGGGGGGGGGGGGTTAGAGATGGGAAAGGCAAACAAAGGGGAGAAAAAGGAAAAGTGAAATAATGAGCAACAGGTGGGGCGAAGAGACTCAATAACTTTGCGTCTCCACTCACCGCCTGCGAGGCCATCATCTCGTTGATGCTCTGCTCGTACTGCTCGGCCAGGATGGCCAGCTTGCGCGTCTGCTCGTCCTTCAGGGCCTTGAGCACGGTCTTGTGCTCGGCCTTGGGCGTCACCTCCATCTGGTGGTGCCGCAGCGCCTTGTACTGCTTGGTCTGCACCTTGCACGTGTCCTGGAACTGCTTCTTGATCTGCAGCTCCAACGCCTGCAAGAGGGGACGGAGACGGACGGGTTACATTTGTTGGAATAGCAACAATTTGCTGCTGGAGGTTAAAGGTTTCCAAAGCGTCTGTAATTCTCTAAATTGAACTGAAATGACTGCGTGGGGAGGGGGGGGGGGGTACATTCTGTTCAGTCTTTCACCATTTCTCCCACATTATTCGTTACATCCACGTTGCATCACATCACATGTCTCAAAAATATAAAGACAGTTGCTCGTGGCTTGCGGCATCTCGGAGGCGAGACCGATCTGTGTGTTCGGAAAAACAACCCCCCGACTCTTTAAGCAAGGTGTTCCTTTACATCTCAAGCACCTTCTGACAGCGGCCCCCGCATCTATGAAACCCCGATAGAGAACGCCATCCGCCTCCGACTCACTTTGAGGTTCTTGGGCTGCTGCCGGAGCTCCAGCACGTGCTTGCGGTGGAGTTCGCGCTCGCGCCGGTTGTTGTACTCGATCTGGTTCTCCAGCTCCGTCTGGTGCTGCAGGCGGATCAGGTCCATCCGCAGCTTCTGCAGGACCTTCAGCTGCCTGTACTCCAGCTCCTGCATGGACTCGTCGTGGCGGATCAGCATGGCGTGCTCCATCTCTTTCTGGGTCTTCTTCTTGTTCAGCTCCTAGGAAGGAAGGAAAGAAGGACACGGAGGAGTCACACGGTCAGCTGGGCTTGTCTTCAATGGGACGTTCACATTTAACGTGTAGGAATGAATTGGCTACAGAGAAATCAATGTATATTTTGTCATTTAAACACTTCTTTAACTCTATTGACCAAAGCGTTTTTGTATATTTTCTCACAGGAACCTTTCCGATTGGGACATTGCTGGCTTGCTTTGCTCTGTAATAATCTTCTTATGGCTAACAAGAATCCCTTCGCCGATAAAGAACAATGGGGAGTAATTGTTATCCCGGTGCAGAGTGAAATATTATGGTCTTGTTATCGCACCAGGCCGGCTCACAGCAACATCACAAAAACGAATAAACATCTAGAGTTTGTTCTTCAGGCACCTCTCGGATCTGTTCCTGCTCCAAGTCGTGCCTCTTGATCATGACTTTGCGCTTGAAGCCGCGGCAGTTCCTGTCGTAGAAGACCCTCTGCTGGCCGAGGAGAAGGGCCTCCTCCTCGGCCTGGGAATGCTGCATGTTCTCCTTGTGCTTGGACAGGCGCTCCTGCTTCTCCCTCTTGGGTGTGCTGTGGTCCTCGTTCATCTCCTGAGAGAAGAGACAGGCAGTAAGGAACCACCAGCACAGGACAGACGAGGCTCAGAATCGGTGTCAATTTGAGGCGCCGTTGGTCGGCTTGTGTGACGTGGAGTAGTTTTCTATGCAGAAATAAGTTCATCAACTGTTAAAATAAAGAAAGCCAATAAACGGGCAGTGGGTGAGGAGATGTGTGACCAGCAAATGCGTGCTTGAATGTAAAAATGAACGATAAATCCCACCTAAATATAGAGGAACATTCACGATATCAAGTGATCTTCTTGAACACTCTCGTCTGTCTGCAACGGCGTTCATAGCTAGAAGAGGGCCACATCCGTCCCTCCTCGGTGTGAGTCCTCCTTTCTGCTCCCGGGGGCTTTAAGGTAATTACCAGTTCCCAGTTAATGCACTCAACCCGCGAGCCTGATCCCTTCTTTTGAGGTGTTTAATTCCGGTACCAGCGCTCGCTGGGCGGGTAATATCTCTCCCTCCCAGCGGCGCTTTTTTTTTAACTGCTCTGACTTAATTTCGGTCACTTATCTTGTAACTGAAAACACAGCGTATCACGCTGCCGGCCCACAGGACGATTCTCATGGGCTCAGTTTAAAAGGTTGTGGAGGCGCACAAATGACACGCCGTGTGCGGATGGACGTGTGGGTTTCCACGCTGGTGCGAGCATACACGTGTAGGTACACAGCGAGTAGGCCGAGTGAGTCAACGCCGCTTCCACGACGCCGCCAGCGGCGGCGGTACTGAATGCGCGCGTTTGTGTGGGGGAGGCATGATTCAACAGTTAGCGGCACACGCGAGGGGAGAGGACCACACCTCCTTAATCTTCTCCTTGCAGAGCTTGTACTGCTTCTTTTGATTATCCAGAAAGGTGGTCAGCTCCTTCTTCTGCTGGGCCACGATCTGCTGCTGGAACTTCTTCTCATCCGTCAACGCCGTCTTCATCTGGGGGGGGGGGGGGGCACACGAGTGGCTGTTAGCTTAGCATGTAGATGAATACAGACAAGTCATTGCTTTGGATCTGCAGATGAACTGACAGTGAGAATAATAGCAGCTCAAGTGTCGTGTTGGTGACGTTCTCATACGTTTAACATGGATTATCATCCATGATTACCAACCAAAACAACAACATGGCTGATATCTAGTGACATGTTCATGGGTCCAACAGATCTCCCTCTCCCTGACTGCACAGATATGCAGCTTGTTTCATTCTGTGAACCACTTCTGCCCGTGTGTTTCCCCTCACGTGTAATCGGGAGGCAGCAGCGAACGTTGGAGCTTCGTCAAAGCGATAACATTATTGATCAGAAGAGAGAGAACTTTTCCGCCCCACCTCCTTCTCTGAATGCACGGCGTGGCGCTTGGGCAGCTTCTCCAGCTCGATGTAAGCGTTGTTGGCCTGCGTCTCCACCTTCCTTCTGCAGCTTGAGCCGGTGCTCGTCCATCTCGGCCTTCAGCTTGTTCTCCAGCGCGATGAGCTGCTTCTGGTGCTGCCGCCGCATGCGCTTGTAGCCCGACATCTGCTCGCGCAGCTCGCTCTCCTGCTCATGCTCGTGGATCTGCTTGGTCACCTGTGGAGCCGGGAGAGGTTCGGAGACGTGAGCGGCACCGATGTGGGATGTCCAAATCGGAGCATAAATGACGTACAAGGGTTCTTTGTTTGCATTCAAAAAGGCACAAAAAAAATTGAATTCAGCCGGTTTATCTTTTCAAAGAAAAAGTGAGAACAAAAATCACTGATTGATTAAAGCATCACAGGTCAAGTCAACCAGCGATGGGAAATTACGGCTTGGAAAAAATAAATGCTTTGAAATCCTTTAAATGAAATAAATAAGTTCCCGCTGGAGCCCAACAAAAGCTCTTTTATCTGACCTGCGCACAAACACACAGCAAAGAGAGGACAACCACAGAAACATATTCAAGCCCTTTGGAGCGAGGAACAAAAAGGAACAAGACGACTTTAAACATTTACATCATCGCATTGAAGCCAAGGACCCCACTGACACGTCTCCCGGCGACGTCACCCGCCTTTTCCGGCGCTAAAGCGGCCACACCAACCTGAGGACAGAAAGGGTTCTCCACGTCCAGGTAGTACTCGCTCCGCATCTTCTCATAACTTCCCCCCGAACTCCTCAGGCCAAACATGATGGCGACTTTAGCCAAGTGCACCAGCATCCAGGAACCTTGTGCGGCATCCTACGCCCGACGGAGCCCTGCCCGCGCTGCGGCGCCACCCAGAGACCCCCACCCTCGCCGGACGACGACCCCCCCCCCCCCCTCCTCCCCTCTGCTGGGTCGGTGCGGCAGGCGTGTGAACTGTGAATGAGGCAGGCCGGCGGCGCGGGCCAACAAGAGCACAGAGCGTCTCTTTAGTCGCGCTAGCGCTAAGCGGCGGACAGCAGGTGGGTCACATGAATACCTCATTGAGAAAGAGTGAGAGAAGTTGGGGGGGGGGGGGGGGGGGGGGGGTGTTAGGGTCAGCATGCAGAGAACTGAGGGGACGGGGGAGGGGAGGGGGAACAGGAGATAGAGATACTGGGAAAAGGTTCGAGGGAAGAAATAGAATAAATAAGAAAAAGAAGGGAATCGAGCGGTAGAAACAGGTGGAGGTTGAGCCCCCCCCGGCCCCCCTCCCCACACACACTCCTTAATCTGAGCTGAATCAATACCCCACTGTAACAGCAGCTCACAAGCCCAGTCACTTGCACCCCCCCCTCCCCTCCTGCATACTGCCACAAAGGGCCAAGTCACGTCATGTGACGGCCTCTTTCACTGAAGGCTCAGGGAGGAAAAGGAGATCATATTCAGTGTGAGGCGAGGGGGGGCGAGGGGGGGGGGGCATGCAGGCTAAAGGGTGAATAATCCGGTGAGATCAGTGGGAATTAAGCAGCTGAGTTATTCTGCTTATGTCGCGGTTGATGGTGGTCTTAACGCGGCGCCGGGAGGAGCCGGTGGGTCGGATGGAGGAAGCGCTGCTGATCTGCTCGGTGTCACGACGGATCACACGGAGCATAATGACTAAATAAGTAAGGCAGCACTCGATGGGATACCTTCTTTTTATCACATTGATGACTGTATTCCACCGGGTGTGTGGCGCCGACGGGCATGAACGGGCCCCACCGCCGCTCCTCAATAACCCCGTCCTGACAAATGCCTTTGAGGAACGTATGAGGTGCAATATTCATTTTTGCCTCTCATTAGAGTGAGAGCGCTTTAAGCGTCACGGCCGCTTCGCTGTTTTCAAAGGAGGTCTTGCAGTGACATTAACTGTCATGAAATATGACCGAGAGAGAGAGAGCGGCTCTTATGTCCAAAACTATATTTGATTGGAGAGTAGAAGAGATGCATTTGTTTAACGCCTAAACTGCTCCTTCGTGAGGGGGGTCGGGGGGGCATTCCTTTATTTATGTGCTTTCCTTCAGATGCACCAATGTGAGGTCTGTATTCTCGTGTCTCCTTCGCCCCCTGAAAGCAAATAAAATGCCCCAAAAAGTGCCTCTGGTTTATACAGCAGCCCTTTGACATTTACACACAAAATCCATCGTTGGATTATTTCCTGTCCTGTAGCCATAAAGCATTTCTAAGGCACAGCGTCTGTTGTTGGCGTGCCGTCAGGTTACAGTCTGCTGAGGACGAGTCAAACGGCAGATGAGGTGGAATATCTCTCCCCCGTCTCCCTCGCCCCTTGTTGCTCTGCGTTTGCTCTTTAATCTCCCTCCAGCACTATGATTTCATCCTTGGAAGTGTGAGCAAATAAAATATCTCACTCATGAATTTGCGTACTTGTTTTTGAGAACGAAACTTGCTGTTGGTTTTATCTTTTCTTTTCTCATTATCTTACTAGCTCTCTCTCCTCCACCATCTGGACCCCCGTCCCTCCCGCTCTCTCTCTTTTGTCTACCTGTTGGTTCCAGTCAATCCGAGGACGTCTGCGCTTCGGAGAGAAACGATGATGTCATCTCTCTCTCTCTCTCTCGGCGGCGGTTCTATCGCAGCGCACACATTGTGCTTCAGTTACACACGGCTGCCGACACGGTGCCTCACCTCAGCCGCTTACATCCGAGGAATCTCAGTTCCACTGATATTCGTCTGGAGTATATTTCCATCACGTTAAAGTGTTTGTAAACATAAGAACAGCGTTCACGAGGGGTCTTAGGTCCTAACCGTAAGGTTGGGTGTCCTGTGACCTCTGTTTTATGACAATATGAGGCTGAGAATAATGATAATAAGAAGAAGAAGAAATATCCTATCGAGGATGCTTGGTGTAGCTAGGTTGCGTTTCCATGGTAACCCGCCGAAAGACCTACCTAACTACTGGAGATCAAAGCCTGACCTAAACAAGAGTTTCACCATTAACAGACGGATTAAGTTCTCTGAATTCATTCTTCACTTGGAAATTCTAGAGCGTCTGTTTTCACTAGAAGCGATTTCCAGTAGTAATAGCGATTATCATTAAAAGTGAAACTCACACAGCCATCAGATTCAGGCTGTGATCGAGGACAGTATCCGTTGTATCCAACTCGAGGACAAAGACGCACACGTCCTCTTAAGACCTGACAGCAGAAGGGCCTCACAATTAAACCACTGGGTCATGGATGGGTGAACACACGCGCTGACACATACACAACACCACAACTACTTACTAGTTACCAGAGCCGGTTACCATGACAACAGACTGGGAGGGAGAGAGAAAGAGAGAGACGTGGAGGAAGAATTCCGCCCCCTTTATCCCAGGATATAAAGTCAGATCTAAGAATGATGTATGATCAAATGCGAGAGAGAGAATGAGAGGGAGGGAGGGAGGGAGGGGGTGCGACGCGTAGTACAAGAGGAGGAAACAAAAAGGACAGAAGTGAAGGAGACGAAAGAGAAGCAGAGAAAAACAGATGCCAGGAAGAGGTGAAGAAAACGCACACAAAAGACGGAGGGAGGAATCGATATGTGCTGTGAACCAACACGGATCACATTTCAGCGCGGGGACATCACCTCACATCCAGCGACCGCCGGCCACGTTCAGCCATGTTTCACCAGTAAGAAACAAAGACAACCCCCCCCCCCCCCCGTGTGCTGGCACGACGCAGACAGAGGGGTTTTGGTCAATTTCCCCTCTATATATGGGGGGTTTGAACCCACGAGGGGAATGTTCCACATACCAACCACAGAAACAAGGACCAGTGGAACGTACCAGCGAGGCCGACTTGATGGTGGCGAAGGCGCTCTGGTTCTTGTAGTTCTGGGCCTGGCTGCTCTTGTCGGAAGAGGACCGCCTGACCCTTGCAGGGTGTCCCTGTGGAGCCCGTCCTCCCAGTTGTACTGATGGTTCTGCGTGGAACACACAGACATGCAAACTGAGCACACGCCGTCCTTTGGCGGTCTGAGTTGTCATCTTTTAAAAAGGACGCCTGTAATGGGCGCACGCGGGAGGGATTTTAAATCGGGGGCCAGTGTTTAGGAAGGAACTTTGTTGCCGCTGTCGCTTGCTCTCCGCTCAGCCCCCCGACACATCGGCTGTCTGCGCGTGGAGAAACATCCTCACTCGCGTCACAAACACAAAGATGAGGAAAGGGACAAAGAGCAGGGGCGGCCCGCTCGTCGCAGATGTTTGAGTCTTGTGAGAAGCTCAGGCATTGTGTACCGAATGTGTGTGTGTGTGTGTGTGTGATGACAAAGTGTGTGCTGCTTGTTGACACGTGGACACACTCTTTGTCCTACGGCGTTCCTGACGAACTTGAAGCGATCTGCCGAACAAGTGAAGACTGTGTCCTTGGTTTCCATGGTTGCAGGGTGGGAGTAAGAGGGTTTGAGGGGGTGGGGGGGTTACGCCTGCATTTGAAAATAGTGAGAAAACCCGGAGGATGTTGGCACAGAGCAATGTGTTCTTTTCAATTTAAGAGTTCTAAAGGAAGATATTATACTAGCAGTGTGTGTGTGGAATATACACTCTGTGTTTTTTAGTACCTCTGTGTATATAAACCCCTCGGTACACGGCGGACTGGTAAAAATGTGCCCTACAGCTGAAGTACTACGTGACCAGATCAAATCAAAGGATAATTGTTGAGAAGCTAAAACATGTTTCTTCAGCTCCACTAAGAATTATTTACTGTTGCTGGAGTTCTAAACCATTCAAATCAGAAGGACACCAAACCGTAAATGGAATTCAATTTAATTTAGTGGACATGAATGCACAATGGATTGGATTTTTATATTTCTGATCTGTGAGTTTCCTAAACAGAGGCACAGGTGGTCCAGTGGTTGCTGATGCCACGTTAATTGGGTGTGTGAAGCGTGCAATGAAAACCAAACAGACGTCATTTCAGACACTATGACGCTTGTCCAGGAACAAAAGGATCTGTAAACGTTAAAACAAGGCAGGGTGTGTGTGTGAAATACGCTGCTCTGGCTGTCCCAACGTTTGGACGTTCTTAAGACGGCATCGATGCAGTTTTCCATGAACGCGCGGGACCGCGAGCCGGGAGTTTAAGATGCATTGAGAAGGTCACATTCGGCACGTTGTGGCCAGACACCACCTCCGTCCCACCAACCGACCCTTGACCCCTCCCCAACACGCACCTTCTTGGTGTGTGGGGACGACTCCAGGGTGCTGCTGTAGTCCTGCGGGTGCATGGTGGTCACGTCGGAGCAGCTGTCGTCCAGCACCTCCTGCATGCTGTTCACGCTGCTGCTGCGGCTGCCCGTGCTGACGGAGGTGCTGGGGATGGAGTGGTTGCTTCCCAGGCTGTTCATCTTACAGCTGGCGGCCTCGCTGTCCTGCGGGGGAGGAGATCCACACATATTCATAAACACGCGGTGCCACAAATCAAACTTCCCCCTGGAGTCATGAAATTATACATTCAACTCAATTACCAGGGGAAGGACGAATGACCTCTAGATCGCATCAGAGTCAAAGGCGTCTTTTATTGTCCATTAACCTCGTATTGCTCAGATGTGTGCGTGTTATTCTTGCTGGTTTTAATTCTAATGGAAGCGCCCGAGATGTGTTCAGACCAGAAGGCCCCCTGGTTGTGTGTCCATGATAGAATGTGTGATGTCAGGATGTCCTACTGGGCCAGAAACAAAAGGTCTGGGACAGCAGGTGAACCCTTGAGCCGCTCTGAATGGCGCCCCGTGGTGTAGGACGCCGGTGTCATGACATGAAGTGTCAATGTCAGGCTGCAGCTGAAGGAACCCGTTTGGTGTGACGCAAAAGGGCCCGACGGCTGTGAGCTACCGCAAACTCCAATTTTTCCCCTTACGTGTATTTGAACTGAAAATTGAGTTACCTCTTCCTCCTCCTGGCTCTCTCCCATTGGTCCGTTGTGCTTCTCCTGGTAGAGGATCTTCTTCATCTTGCGGTACTGCAGGTTGTCCAGCTCGCGCACCGCATCCTTGGTCCTCTGGATGAGGTCGATGAGAATGCGCGGCGAGCGTTCCCGACGTACAAAATCATGCTGCGCGGAGAAGAAGGAGGAGAACGCGGGTTAGACATTGAACACATCTGGTGGTTGGAGGACCTAAAAGGTTTTGTCCACCCTTGAAGAGCTTAGGAATAGTTTTGAAGGACATCTAATGACCACTTGACAGCCGTCTACTTCGGTCTTATTTCAATGAGCAGCACCACCGGGGGCCGTCACTAGAGGGCGCCTGTGGGTCGTCCTGCTGTCCCAGTGCTCCTCATCCTCCACGCGGAGCATATGGGATCTGTGCAAGAACGTCCATCAAATCCATTTTCCACAAGCACTCTTAATCCTTTTCATTCCTGTGGAGTCTTTACTGTATTCGCCTCGGCACCAAGTTAATGACGGCTTCCAAAATAATTGCTGTAATGAAAGCGTGTAAAATGCCGCTAATTAATTGAGGGGTTCCAGTCTTTATATTCGATTTTTTTTTCTAGTAAGCTTACAAACATTAGTCGCTCTGGAAAGAAGATTGTATTTAAGGGAATTGTTGGAATTTAATCTGTGGGACAGAAAAGTATCTAGACCCCCTTTGTTTAAAAACTGGATATTAGCAAGTCAAAAGTTCCCACAACAAAGAAATAATTGTTCAATAAATAATTATGAAAACGTGATTACTCCATGGTATTTTCAATCACTGATATAAATCACATTAAATCTCAGTAAGAAGCCAAATTTGATGGGAGGTGGGGGTGTTATGCTTTTACGTAATCGTTTATTTTGTGTTGCGTAACCGGCAGGTCACAGTGGGTGTGTGGGGTTGGTGGGGGTCAGGTAGGAATGAGGGGGTGAAGATGAGTGTTGCTCTCTTAAAAAAAAAAATATTCCATTTGGCCGAGAACTGTACTCTCATCAAGATAGAAAAATAAAACACTCTCCTCACCCCCACACATTCACACCACCCCTTAGTCACTCTCATTCATAAAATATTGTGTGGTTGAAATGTATGAACGTCAGAGTGCAGGACTAAAATATATATACTGTATGAAAATCTTTCAGGTCTATTTCCGGCTGTCCTCCTCCCCATGTGAGCGATGCTGCTGCGATGGGTTAGTCAGGACGCCGGGGGAATGACATCACGCTCTGAAAATAGAGACGGCAGCGATTTGTCCCGTTTTCTGACGGACGGACACCAGAGCGCGGGTGGTTGGCCTCCTCCGTCCCACCGCCTCAGATTCTGCACTGGTTTAGGAGGGCGCCGTTGGGACGGGGCGAAGGCGTCTTCGGTTTATGGATTAGATTCTTCTACCAGAAATATGAACCCATCCTCAGAGATCCCCCCCGTTGTGATGTTAAATGCGGCACATTATTCAATATTTTTACAGTTCACTTTATTTATTATACTTGTTTCTTCCATGTTTGTGGTACCTGCTCTGCTTGAATCCACCACGTTTACTCATTAAGGGAGCAGAGGTGACTGAGAACACGGCCAACACGCTGCATGTATGAAAGGCAGAGCTCAACATTTGTTCTTTGCCGTCGACAGTTAGACGAGATGAATCGATATAGCGGGAACGTCTGGTTAGCTTAGCTTGGCATGAAGACTGGAAACAGCTGACCCGACTCCACCTCCGTATCGTACAACACAAACGCCGTCAATATTCTCATCCGACCGTCCGCAAGAAAGCGTATCGACTGGAAAAGTTATTTTCAAGAAAAGGAAAAAAAATCCATCCACTAGTTCAAGCCTCTCAAATCAATTGAGAGAATTAGAACGCATTGTTTCGTGCTATGGGAATCTGTTTGGGGAAATTCTCGTGTTGCACCTGATATATCTGGAGTTTGTGGTTGATTTATGGGAAAAAAGAGAAACCTCCAAAGACCCAAACAACCAAGAGGACATTTTTGGACTGTTTTTGCTGAAACGTATTGAGTACTTATATGAGCGGGTCATTATTTTGTTATTTTCATGAATACAGTTATTCAGGGAGAGCGTTTGTTTAACTTGAAGCCTGGATAGACACACAGATTAGTGACCTGATTTCCCCTTTAAAAGAGCTTGGGGGGGTCTATGTTTGTGCATTGAGAGAATTTTGTGTGTCTGAGAAGAGAAAGCGGTGTATTAATCATGAGCCAACACCCCCCCGCCCCCCTCAGCCTTCACTATAACGCAGCCTTTTCGACACTGATCTCAAGTCTGTTTGGTACTTATCCCGCTTTCATGTTTTTCGGGGGATTTAGGTCAGAGGGTTTTGGGAAAAGCGCATCCCGGGCCGAGCGTGGAACCCATCCAGAGTCGCTTATTTAACCGTCGCCTTGCTTTACACCCTCAGGTGTGGGGCAGGTGTGAAAACTTCCCCCTCAAGCTCCGGCCAACAACATTAACCTCTTAGCGGGCCGATCGGATTACCTGTTGGTCACACAAACAAAGAGATCAACGCCTCAATCAGCGAACAAACGCGGATACACTTTGCTGCCTTTCTATAAATGCTTGTGTCCAATGCAAATGATGAGCGTGTTCACGCTGTCGACCAAGCACAAGTGCGTCTGTTGTGGTATCAGGCCGAGGAGGTTTACATGTACATTTTCTGATAAATAAAAATAGTTAACAACAACAATAATGGAGCACCTGGTGGTGCCGGGGTTAAATCACCAAACATGGACCCAGATATTGACTTTTGTTGCACGTCCCTCCCCATCGCTCTCACTCTGCCCTCGTTCCCTGACATCTATCCAATGTCGTCTCCACAAACAACAAGCAGAGCGGTGTGTGTGTGTGTGTGTGTGTGTGTGTGTGTGTGTGTGTGCGCTTGAGTCGTGGGTGGGTGGGAGTGACTCATCCACATGGCTCAGGAACCGAGCGAGACAGGAAGTGAGGTCACAGCTGGAGGGATCACAGAGGAAAGCCCACTCACTCGTAGCAGCTCCCCCGAGGAGGGTCTGTCCTGAGGAATTTTCAGTAGGCAGTAGTCGACGAAGCTCCGGAAGGGGTCCGACCTGGATGGAGAGAGCCGGGAGCGAGTGAGTTCTCGGGGTTTTAAAGAGGGAATAAGTTAAGCAGAAACAGACAATCCAATTATAGGCCTGACCGCCAGTGAACGTTTAACTCCATGCGTTTATCGTAGGGATGAATTAAAGCGGAACACAATCCTAAATAATCTCTCTGTGCGTCTCGATGCAGGAACCATCTATGGATTGTGTGAAAATGTGGAGCGATAATCACATAGGAGCCACTGGCGATGTGGAACACACAAACACTGACACAGCGTGTGTGTGTGTGTGTGTGTGTGTACTTTGTGTGCTGAAGTTTGACTACAGAGACGACGTCTCTACGAGTCTCATCTGGCGGGATGCTGCCTGCGCCTCGGGCGCCGCTGGCGCTCCTCCAAAAATACCACCGCCGTGCGCCGGCCCGCACGGAGTCGCTCCAAGCCGACGCGGGTTTCACAACTTCCTTTCCCCGGCGCGCTCACAGGCGGAAAGACAGGAGTCCACCAGCCTCGTGCTTCTGATGACCTTTCACCCCGGCCCGAGGCTCGAGGTTCTTGTAAACGTACGAGGCGACGCAGACACGACGCGGCTTAACATTTGGTGCGTGTTGCAGCCCCCCTCCACCCCCCCCGAGTAGAACCGCACCTCACGGGCAAATCAAAAACTACGAGGCTTGGTGGAATATTTGCTGCCTCGCTCATCCTCTCTTCTGCTGTTAAATACGGTGACCTAATCCCACATTCCTTCCCCTTTTATCTCCAGGTTTGTGCAAGTGAAATAATAATGAGGATGGAATATTTACTGCTTCCTTGAGTACATATAACGTGTATTAGTTGGGTGGGGTGTTTAGCTTGGAATACACAGTAAGTGTTAATGTGCATTAGATGCCCGTCAAGCCGTAATGAATGCCCATGATGTTATGAATAGCCAAAAAGATAATGACTTAAAAGCACAAGCAATCTGGCTTATTCATTAAAAAAAGGTGCCTGTGAACCATGTGGCTGGGATGCTTTTGCTAAGAGCTCTTTAAAAGCCGCGGGCCAAAATCAAACTGTTTTGTTTACATCCACACTCTCCAGAGAATCTATTATCGTCCACAATCAAAAGCCGTTATGCTGAGGACAGCGAGAAAGTATTGGCGGTTTTCCCGTAATACTTTAAGAACAAAGGAGCAGCCTAGTTAGTGCGGCAAACACAAGAAAATGGTCATCAATTGAGAATAAAATTAGAATAATCACGCTGCTTCTTTTAATATCGATATATACGTGAGACTGTTCCTTAAAGGCCAGCTGGGGCGATGCAGAGTTCTCAGCGTGTTACTTCTGTAGAGGTTTCCCAGGTAATTACATAAGAGACTCAGTGTGACCTCGCACCAGGCGCGTTGCAGGGGTCAGAGGCCGTGCAGATCAACGCCGGGACGTCTTACGCTGACTGAGCCCGGATCGGATTGAGCCTTAATGTTCACGGGTGAGTGGAAGTATTTTATCAGCAGTGCCACTGGATTTTGTTGTTGTTGTTGTTGTTTTCTTAGCCCAAATAAAAAAAATCACCAATTTTTAAAAAAACATTTTGTCGTGTGTCAGTTTCACAGATTAAGAATATCTTTGTTTTTTAAACCGATGACAGCATGGTAATATTTGGGAGGTGGGTTTTAAACTCACCACTCGTTGGACTGTAGCGTGGGAGAGTCGTTCTGTGCGATGTGATATAAGGCACTCATGGCATTCATGTTGAACAAGGGGGGTTTGCGCTCCGCTGAAATAAGAAAAGATGGCGAGAAGTCAGAAGGAAGGAGAGAAGAGCGATGTTCCACTTACACAATTAAGAATAAGCTTCTCCTTTAATGAGGCACCAACTTCATGGGTCTATAAAGGCCTAATTTGACCAGTAGGTCGACGCATCCTCACCGAGCTCAATACAGGTGATCCCCAGCGACCAGATGTCCACTTTCCCCTCGTACTGGCCCTCGTCCATGGCTAGGATCACTTCTGGGGCCATCCTGAGGACACGGACACACACACACACACGGACACACACACACACACAGTTTATTAAGTATGTGGGGGGAAAAATCCATGAAAATGTTATAATCTGCTAAGCCTCTCAGAGCTTTTAAAGACTCTGGTGTGCTGTGATAGCAGCTCAGTTTTAGGGAAATATGAATGTGTTTCTGTAAACGGGGAGTGGGACAACTCGTGTGTGTGTGTGTGTGTGTGTGTGTGTGTATTTAACAGAACATCCGAGACAAACTTGTGCGCTGCTGGCTTTTGGCATCATGAGTCCATCGCTCGTCCATCGGTTTACGTAATGACTTTCATTCACCATTAAAAGCTGCAGGAAGCGTGTGAGTGAGTATTATGGAGTGGAAGGTAAAGCTGCGGATTTCTATATGAGAGCGGACACCCGTTATAACCATGTAATAGATAGGACTTTCCTCAAACTGAAGCCTTTTTCAGAGGGAATTGGAAAGATGGACATTCTTAATTCTTGAAGTGCCGAAGTTAAGGAAACTTCTTTCAAACTTTCCTACCTCACGTACACACAACATGAAAACATAATGCCTCAGTCCATGCTGACGGAACAAAAAACTTTAAAGCCATGAAAGCAGCAAAGGTGTGCCAAACATTTATGTAATTATCTGAAGTGTGTTATGACAGTAAAGAAATATAATAAGAAATATACCCCCAAAATAGTTTAGTTCAAGCTAGTCTCAGCACATGTAGTGGTGTGTGGGGTCCGCGCTGTGTGTGTCTCTCCGTGTGCACCTGGTCCCGGTTATACTCACCAGTAAGGTGTTCCCACAAAGGAGTTGGCAGGTGAGGCAATGGAGGCGGAGCCAAAGTCAGCCAGTTTGACCTGACCCAGCTCGGTCAGCAGGATGTTACCAGCTTTCACATCTCTGGGTGAGGAGGAGGAGGAGGATGAAGGGGGAGAAGGCTTTGAGCAGGTTCCAAAGGACCATTAACGCATTATGCGTGTCTATCCAACTTGAGTGGTCGCTGGGGCAGTTTACTTATGGATGAAATATGTTCATTTAAATGGCTGTTATTTACTTTTTACAATGAAATGAAAACCATTGATGTCACGGCGCAATCAAAGATGCAATAAAGGGAGAACTCCTCCCCCCCCACCCCTCCCTCGTCTGCCTTATCTTGTTTAAGTCACTGCATGTTCCTGATGGAAAATGTTTGGAACCAGGAAACAAACCCACTCACCTGTGAATCATGTTGTGGGAATGTAGGTAAGCCAGTCCCAGCAAGGCACCATGGGTAATGGCAGCAATTTCCAACTCTTGCAGCGGTTTCTTATGAACTTGAGGAGAAATTGGTACAGCGGAGATGAGTATTTGCCCTTTACATGAAGAATGTGAAAGAGCTGTTCTACACAGAGACCTTCATCATGAATAAAGCATTTGTAGAAAGTTCTGAAGTGCCTGATCAAAGTCCCAATGGGACCGATCTGTTCATCTGATACAGCAGTGAGAAAGTAGTCTCTTGGCATCTGGCATATGGACCACACAGCCTCTGAGGCCGGCTCCCTGTGGACTGCTAGCCCAAGCAAAAAAGGTCACAGCAGAACTCAGGGAGGCAGAGAACAGGTCAGCGCCAACTGTGGCGACTACGTCAGTGACGGGTGCACACGTAGGTGCTTAAAATAACACGGGCCGTTCAGGTCTGGAGCGCTCTGACAGCTGAGGAGGTTAAGATTTAAAAACAAGTAGTTAAGATGGGGACATCGATAGTTCCTTCCATCAGTGTGAACCAAAGTGGTAAGAACATGTGTGGAGCACTCAGTCTTTTTTAATGTTTCTAGGTAGATAAAGTCATGAATTATCTAAACGTGTGTGCGTGCACGGTAAACATGAATAAATACACTCACCCTCTAGTAGGTCTGATGCGGAGCCCAGGCAGTACTCCATCACCAGCTGAAACAGAACACGGTTACAGCTGAATCACTCCTAAAATAAGTAGCTAAATAATCAGTGCTCCAAAGCAGAGGGGTCACACTGGGACCGACGGCAACAAGTCGAAGACAACGAGGCAAAGAATTCAGACAAAGAGGACGGGAAGAAAAAAGATAAAACAAACCATGTGGAAAGACTGAAACAAAGAGCGGAACAAAGGGAGACGTGGACACGGATCTACTAACCCAGGCGGTGTTGTCCTTCAAGTAGCAGCCTTTGTACTCGATCGTGTTGGGATGTCGCAGCTGTCCCAAAAACTTGACCTCCTTGATGATGTCCTGCCACTTCTGCCGAAAAACACAACAAAAAAAACAAAACAAGCTGAGACACAGGGATGGTTTTCATGCACTGCAGGTTAACCGTGGCTTCACCGTGGCAACCGCTCAAACAGGCGCGGTGAACTTAACGCATCCGTCAGCATTGTGTGTAGACACACAGGAAGCGCTGCACCGACGAGCACATTATGAAGACGCAGAGACTGAGATCTGGATCCGAGGATTAACCGAAGCGTTGGCTGGTCAGGGACGTTGTCGTGGATGAGCGGCATCAGGAGGATGAGGAGACAGAAGGAAGTCTACTAAACCACAGAGGCCTTTAGCTGAAGGGTGAGCGTGATCACAGAGGAAGCCTTCTGAAATATTCTGGTGCGTAAGCTTCTTTTGGCAGTGCACGAGGGAGGCACCTGCCCCCCCCTCCCCTTCCTCCCCCACCCGGAACTTTGCATATGGCTTGTGAGTAACTATTTTTACATTAGTTTTGGTTCCTTCCTTCCATCAAAAACCAGACATCTCAGTCTCACAGTCTGAGGTCGAGCTCTGGCTCGACATGGAGAGCGACTTTTAGCGCCTTGAGCTCTTGTTCTCACTGTTTCGGGCCAAAGAGTCACATGTTTGCAGATCAAATGTCTACTTGAACCCTGAGATACGGTTCAGGGACACAACGCCCTAATTGTGGCGGTGCGTTTACAGCCGCACGCTGGAGGCAGAGTTTGACACGTTTGCTTGAGCGAGGTTGCTTGTCTTACTTCGGTAGTCTGCTTGCCATTGTAGGACATCTTTTTGATGGCCACCACCTCGTTGGAGTACAAGTTACGGGCCTGGAGAAGAAAGACAGAGATCAGATCAGGGTGAAGTCTATAAAAACATACGGACCGACAACTCACACGTACGTGTACAGTAATCATCTCGTGACAAAGTCCCCTGGCAATTACTCTATAAAAAGAACACGGCATGAATAAATGAGTAACTGACACAACGTTGTCTCTCTAACACACTGCTTCTTAAAGTGATTTCATCGCTGTATGTGACATGTCTAGTCATTAGAAATGTTAAACCTCACATGCATTATTGTGCCACTCTGCTAACACGGTGATGAAGGAGGGAAAAGATTGTTACAGTTGAAAAGGCTTTAGTTTAATCTTTCCACTTGGCATCTCAAGTAAGTGAACATCTGTAAACATACATAGAAATGACATTCACGGTTTAAACTCTAGCCTGCACATGTGGAGACTCATATATATCGCAGGTGTCAACAGAAATAAGTGTGTTAATATATTTATAGTGTGTTATTTACAATTACTTAAATGATTATATACTTATGAACGCTAAATAGGGGGTTTACAGTGTTAGTCATGTATCCCTTAAGGGGGATCCAGATGTGAGCCGGAATTACGGCTTCATCTCATTTTAATCTAAACACATTTCCGCCTGATCAAAGCGCTCGCCGCCGTGAACGGGGGGAGCCTGCAGGTAAGTGATACGTGGCTGTCGAGTGTTGTCTGGGTGCATCCACAGGGCCGCGCTGAACCCGCGATGTTCACCTCAAAGCCACTGGGCCTTTAGGAGCAGCTCAGCCTGAGCCCTCGTCTCCGCTTCATCCCCCTTTCAAATGAATGGGAATTTCCTGTTGAGACTCAAATGGAGCTACAGCGACAGCAGGCAACAGAGTATTCCCATTTGACGGATTCATCTGAACCTTGTGATCGCCTGTCGGTTCGTGCATAATGGGTGTTCCCTCTGGTGGGAAGTGTAGATAGACGGCTGTAGAAGGAGGGAGGGGGGCAGGTCATGTTTGAACTACATTCAGGCTAATTGACATTGCAGAAAAAAGGGGATGCATCGATAATTACCAACGGCCAATTCGCTCAACATGCACTACAAAGTGGTGTGTGTGTGTGAGTGTGTGTGTGTGTGTGAACCCAGCAGAGGGAATTCCCATTTTACTCTCCTATAATGGAGTCTCTCCCTTTAAGATTAACATGCACACACAGATTGAGACTATAGACTATGGGCGAATGTTCTATAATAAGAATACGCACTGTGCGTTTCCTATCTAACGTGCACATAAAGAGCTGCTGTTATCTTTTATAGTTCTAGCATTGCAAACATCTACTTCTACGTTGCCCAACGCCGTTGTCTCGTTGTGACAGCATGATAATCCAGATCCGTCCTCTCAGCATGTGGACTGTGAATAAAATGGGTTTTACGCTCACTAAAGCTCTCAGGGCTAAAGAGCTAAAGCTAGCAGTGGACCAGTTGTAATGCGGACAGCATAAGTGTGTCAATGAGCACATCAGGGCAGGATTTAGACGCACACTGGAGTCTGTTCGGCAGACGGACTGTGGGGGGTGTGTGTGTGTGTGTGTGTGTGTGTGTGTGTGTGTGTGTGTGTGTGTGTGTGTGTGTGTGTGTGTGTGTGTGTGTGTGTAAATGACGTGACTGGGAAGATGACGGTTAAACCCCGCCAGCTAAGAATATCCTTCCCCAGTATGGACGGCCTCTGTTTTTCTGTACCAGTTAAACAGCTGTCTTAGGAGGGAGGGAGGAGGCTTATCGCCCTCAGCCCTGCATCTGGAGGAGAGCGAAGGGACGCGATATACTCTCAACCCCCCCCTCCTTCCACACAGCTTTAGAATCAAAGGCTTGAGGAGTAATTAGTGCTGATGAGATTAATAAGAAAGGCTACAGAGGAAGTGCAGAGGGGGAATCTGTCGCTACTCAATTGCATCCACGGAGCCATAATGTAAGCGGGCTACAAATCAATGAGTCGATAACGGGGGAGACTTGTTCATGAATGAATCAATGTGCTGCTCGTGTTTTAATAAGTACCACGCAGCGTAGTGTTCACTATATTAAACTGTCCGGTCGTCGTTCTTTCTACGGTGAACTATGAAAAACACACACGACGACCAGTCGGCACTTACAAAGTAGACGGCCCCGAAGCTGCCATGTCCGATCTCGTGCAGGTCACAGAAGACATCCTCGGGGTCGTCTTTGAAGAAGAGGTCGGCCAGCTCGGGGTCCTTGGGCACGCCTTTCCGCGTGGACGACGGCATTATGGGCTGGACATGAGCTAAGCGCCGGGGACGACGCTCACGCACGCACTGCTGCTGCTGCTGCCGCCGGCAGATGTCCGCGACGGGCCCGGCATTGGCCAGCTAGACCTGCAGAGCAGAACGGACACGTGTTGCCTTCAGGCGCTGCAGGTAATCTTCGGTTTAACACCTGCCAGAAAACCTAGAAACACATTTGCTCCAAACATTAAACGTAGGGTCAACAGGGTGAATAGTGATTTACCGTTAATATGATCCGTACTGACGCCAACACCACGGCGGTCAATGGAAACACACGGTTTGATCTCATTTAACTTCACAGGCCTTCACCAAATCTGTGTGTATGTGTGTGTGTGTGTGTGTCTGGAAGCCTTTTCATTGTGCGTTTGTGCGGACACAAGACGGGAAAAACGACAGTCATATGATGACAGCTAGCTGTCTAGTTCTGCTGCTCGTCCAAGTCACACTTGCTCACGTAAACATGCACGCGCACACCCACACAAACACACACATGCACACCCACACAAACATGCACACTACAACCTTTACAGCTGAAGCTGAGTCACTGATGCATAATTTCCACACACACACACACTTAATGTTTTGCTGCAGCCAGCCCATGAAGCGTGTACTGCTCCAGTTAGCTTCACTGCACATGCATCGCACACGCACACGCACACGCACACGCACACACACACACACGCCTCTCGTTGCCGTTTCTCTCTCTGTTCACCATGAAATCTCTGCACACAGGCCAGATGCAGCAAGCAGAATCTGGCTCCAAAGGCCGGCCGCTCACTGAGCAGGCTGACATACAAGCGGAGGCAGCAAGACACACAGGCCGAGACACGAAGCATCAGCATCATCCTAATCCCTCTTGTAAGGATCCAAGTCACCACACAAACTCCAAAAGTATCGGCCTTAAATGCGAAGTGCAGTTCCCTCGGTTCTAGTGCACCGGATGTGTAAACACGGCAGCCTTGAAGCTTTGTGAAGTTACTTTTACCATTTAGAACCTTGAACAATGACCCCATCAGAAATTGTTCTCTCAGTCGGTTTAGTTTACACGCGTGCATAACGGGAAAGATCAGGTATACGCGCTCGCATGCTTGTTGCCCTGAAGGCGTCTCCAGATGGCAGAGGAGCAGGAAGGCTTCAGCGGAGACCTCCACGGCCGGGATGGAGGTGTGACGAATGACGACAACGTGGCCGTGCGCGCACAACCGGTCATGCGACCACCCGGTTACTCTGCTACCTGGACTTTGTCTCGGTGCTTAAAAGGCCCTTCAGCACTGACCGTGTGTTTGATTAGTTTCACCTTGCAAGAAAAAAAACGAAGCTTGGTCTCCATTTGTATGCGTGTGTGTTTGTGACAACATCTGTGTGTACTACCTGTGTTGCTGTGTGTGTGTAATACCCAGTGTGGCCGTGAGTGTTCTTTGCCTACTGACAAAACAAGGTTGTGTGGGACCACGTGTGTGTGTGTGTGTGTGTGTTTGTGCGTCTCCTGGTTGCATCAGAGTGCCGTCTGTCTCTCGAGGTATCTGGTAAAATAACAGAACGTCCATCGCAAACACTCTTACGAAACACACACACAACTTTGGACAACATAAAATGTGTTTTACTCCACGTGGAGGAGCTTTGACACCGGATCTAAACCACGACGATGAAGGACTCGGCGGGCTAGTAGACAAAAAAACAAATGAACACCGGTGTTGTTTGAGCACTCTGGAGACTCGTCACACCTCCCGCTCACACTCTTTTTCACTCTTCCTCCTCTTCCTCCAAGATGTGTGAAGTGATGCAATGTGGCAACAACCGGTTGTAACACTGGGGGGCTAGGTAGAGCTGCCGCTAGTCCGGCAAAGCTCGGTGTGTGTGTGTTTACTGGGGGTCTATGAAAGCTATTGTGTGGAGGGAGCTGATTAGACAAATTGTTTAGACTGATTTAATGCTCAGTGTGTGTTGTGTGTGAATTCTTTAGTGACACTGCACATAATTACACTGTACCATGCGTAGGTGTGGAGGTGGTTAATGGTGCTGAAAGCGCTGTAACATGCAATACATTGTTAAAAAATATTATACATGACATTATTTGGTTTACAATAATCTCACTGGGGTTCCAATTACACAACACTTTAACACCAGACCAACACGTATAAATACACAATTACTATGTGCATTTCTTAGGCCTGTACAACAAACGTTCATGTCAGTGAACGCCGCCTCATGTCGTTGAGGGGGTCTATGAGTAAGTGCACACATGCTACGGGCCAAAGTTCAACGTGCATACATAAGAAACACACAAATACCACGCGCACCACCCCGGCCCCGGGGCCCCGTTGGTTGTGCCATGACTAATTGATGGACCAACATGTTGTTGCAGGACCGCGTCCTTCAGGCTGGTGGAGAAGGCTGCAGCAGACGTGTCTAAATGGGACATCCCAGTGTCTCCTCTTGGCCAATAATATGCAAGAATAAGGGAGCGAAACCTTAAAAAATAAAATAAAAATAAAACGTTCCAGAAATGTATGTGATGTTTGTTTGAGATTAAGGGACATCGCTTCAGTCTGTAAGCGATAATAAAAATGTACAATTTAAGCATGTATTTATTTGAACTCAAATCTCTATTTTTAAAAATATGTAATTGTAAACTATTACGATTTATCTGTAGTATCTGCTCGCTCCTGTGATCTTGCACTGACACAGACAGGAAAGAGGATTACATCAGATGCCGTTGTTGCAGATTTGCCTTTGTGCACAAAATAGACTACATGAAACCGTCGCCCCGCTGAGACGCGCTGGATTGAGTTTGATAGAAAACCGTGTGGACTCGTCCTCCACCACTTCCTTCAGTCAGCTCCTCACTGCCCGCACTTCTACGACGCTTCGCTTTGATCAACTGCTTTTGAAAAGGAAAAGCTTTGACAGGCAGTAAAATGTGATTTCCTTATCCTCCTCTTGGCACTCAGTCTCCGGGGGGCCGCCTGGATTCCGTCTAAACTCTTACGAGAGGGCAAGTGAAGTGCATTCTTCTGAATTTGTGTGCGCACAAAAAAAAAATAACGCCTTTCCACAATTACACCAGTGCAGACAGGCGTTCGTATGAGTGTGTGCGTGTATAGCCAAAGGGGGGGGGGTTTAGCGGCTTACTGGCCCCCCTACCGGCTTTAGGCAGGAACAGGAATTAGGCAGACTGTGGGAATTCTTACTGGGATTAAAATCTGCCAGCTCTAATCAGAAACATGGGGGAGAAGGAAAAAAAAAACGAACTGGTAAATCTTCTAAATCGCTGCATTGAGACATCGAGGAGGCAGTATGTGCGAACATAAGAATTACGTAATGACCGAGTCCTGCCGTGACATCACGCAGAGCAGGTGTGGAGCCTCGGAGTCGTGTGCGAAGGTGAAGTGAGCGAGGAAGCCTCATATCACGAATGAAAAAAAAAGAATCCCTGTGCATTAATTCTTTCAAATAGAAGCTTACAGACTGCCTGAAGATAAAGAACTTCATCTCAACCGAGTGCAACGGCCCTGGAGAGTTGTCCATGCGGGTGTGTGTGTGTATGTGTGTGCATGACATTAAGTGGGTCAACCCCGTTATGAATAATATAGAAGGCGGATTACAGGCACAGTGCCGGGTCGCACGGTGATGACGAGCCAATTTGAGAAATGAGGAGAAAAAAGGACCAAATGTGATCCGCTTGTTTCCCTCCGTGACTCAATACGCGCTGCATTGATGAAAGGGTTGATGGGGTAACAGGTTAGTTGGTTAATCCTCCATACGTGTCTGTTATGAAGTGTCTGAGGCGCTTCATGTCAGCTTTGAGTATTTCTATGACAACAATCCACACTGAATATTACACCGTAGTTATGGTTCTGGTGTGAAACCCAGCGATGACGATCGCACGGTCCTCTTCGTCTACTCATCGGCAGAAACTGTCCTCTGGAGACGAGACGCTCGCTTGCAGGCCGATTTACGGGCTGCACTTGAAGTGGACCCTCATGAGTGGAACCTGCTTTAAAAAGGCTGAGCAGCGAGATTCTGTGCCGACGGCACAGAACGTGCTCGCACAAGCGCCGTCAGGGGCGTCGGCTTTATTAGGAGCAAAAAAAATAAATAATAATAATAATAATAATAAAGACTTCAGAGCCAAATGTTTCCCTTCATACTGCAACTTGTAAGTAAAACATTAGCAAACTTCATAAAAACAAACAGCTGTTTATAAGTGCATGAGGGAGCCGGCAGGGCGGCACACGCACACGCACACACACACACGCGCGCGCACGCACGCACGCACGCACGCACGCGCGCGCGCGGTGACTTCAATGACAAACAAGCCTTTGGAGCCTGTCATTTTGCTTGTTTCAGTGCTGCAGGTAGCAAAATAATTAAAATCATTGGTAAAAAAACAAAGAAGGGAACACTAGTGATGATTCATGATGAGGGGCCCTGATGTGTAAAAAGAATAAGCAGACCCTGTGTGTGTGTGTGTGTGTGTGTCCTACCAGCATGAAATGTGTGAAGGGGCGCCGGGTGTCTCGTCCTCTTCCTCTCTTCAGTGGGAGTCCAGAGTCTTCTTGTTGCCGACTCGCTCCATGACCCGAATGACGCTGCACCTGAGGAGACACACAGACGGTCAGATGAGGTAAACGCTGCAGAGGACTGTGGCTGGATCATGAGAAACAAACTGTAATCTATGAGAAGAATATTGAATCAGCAACTATGTTTACTATTTGTTGATTGATTGATCCGATCATTTAAATAACGGTTTTAACCGGAATTGCCATAATTTTTTATTCTTTTTTCAACTCGGTTTCCCTTTTATCACCTCAAGAAAATACCAAACTCTTCTTGAGAATAATTGAGAAAACAATCGAGCCACTTTAATGGACATTGTATTAGATGATGTGTTAAAATGCTGCAAGAATCCCATAATTTAGCTTTGGATAGTAAAACTGTTGATTGATTCCACATCACTGTCCATCCCAGAATGCACTGGGCCGAAGGTAGCGCAAAATAAATGTTTTGGCATTTTATACATCACTCTCAAAGACGCGAGTTCAAGGACGCTTCACACAGTGCCGTGGACCAACACACACACCTTTTCTTTACCGGGAAAGGATTCACATGATTTACAACACTGTTGCTAAGCGATACATACATACTTTTATGATCGGTTTAATGAGTAAGAATTGTGTTTGGATTATTGGTTGTAAAAATAAAATAAAATGAGGCCAGATTATTGTAACAAAGTCTTCAAAGACTTCCTCCAAGTCCTGGCGGGTTCGGGTACTGAGTGTAGTGAGATAAACAACATCTCTGGATGGGATCGAACAGGCACTCGGGCCCAGTTCAGTCATTCCCAGAGTTCATGAAGTGCTAAGCAGCAAACGGCAGGTATCCGTGACGACATCACTTCCTGGCTGACTATCAGGATATTGTACAAAGGAAGCGTTTCCTCTTCGCCAGCAGCCGTTTAAAGCACAAAAGCACCGTTGAGCAAGTCACTAAAGCAGATACCATTTGTTGAGTTAATTACCTCTTTGGTGTGGATGCAGGTTGTGAACCTGATTTAATGTGCAGTAAAAGCACTACAATCAAATACACAACAGCTGATAACACACTGTGCGTGTTTAGAATTGCCGATTTTACGGAATCGTATCAACGATAATGAGACTCGATGGTCCCAAACGTAACGTTCAGCGTTCCCCGAGTGGCCGTCGACGGACGGGGGCTCCTGATGACTCACGTTGGAGGCCGCTGTGCTTTAAAGGAATCACGCGTCCCGCATTGAAATGCTGCTTTTTAATGAAAGCGGAGACGACGGCGTACGAGGCGATTTCCCACAATGCACAATAAATTCTCCCCGGATGAAAATAAACTAATCCACTGAGATACGAGGAAAGCAAACATTATGTGCTGATTATCCTGCCAGGGCGGCGTGGTGCGGATTTTTATAGCAGTGACTCATTTTTACTGAGCGAAGAACGAACACACACACACACACAGCAGGATTTGAAGACTTGGGGCAGCTCTCGCCGCTAGAGCTTAGTGACACGATTCAGACATGCGTGCATACAAACACACACACGGCTACCTTCAGATTAGCTTTGAGGCTAATGCCAACATAAATGTGGGTGTGGGTGGATTGAGGGACACATACGAGACAAATAAGGGGACCTGTCCGCCGACTCCAAACCCCCGAGCCGGCTCTAAATCTCTACTTTACTTTATTTAAAGTGATTTCCTCTTGTTGCCTTCAAGTGAAATCAGCCCAACGCAATGGCTCCTCCTCTTGTGTTGAGGATGAATAATAAAAGTTGGACTTTGCACCGATGACCTTTCACAGAAACTACATTTCCATCCGTCACGAGCTCGAAAAGTAGAATAAAAGTATTAAATTCTGTAACATTAATGACGATTCCCTGTAATGGAATCTAAGTTGCTGCGGTGCCACTTATTATCTGACGATAGATAGACACAGGGATATGAATTAACCGTCTTATTTCTTAAATATTGTTTTACAAAGAAAGAAAGCTTGACATTCCGTCTGATGTTCACTTCCACACAGTGAAGCGTTCAGCTTATTGATTAAACAGCGGTATCAGATCAGCGCTTCATACTTTGGCTCCCGCCGCCATAAACTAAACGTTAAATGATGCGATCAGCAGCACCAATGGAAGCAGGTGCAAGGCGCCGCGGCGCCTCCCTTCCATCTACTGAAGGAGGATCACATGACCACACGAGGCAACGCTTCCGTTTAGGCGTCGAGGTAGAAAAGCCACATCCAGCGATGCAGACTCGGAAGAAAGAGAGCGGCACAAGCACAACACATGAGAAGCTTCACACGTGAGAAACATTCTCGCACACGTGTAAAGCGGCAGCTTTGCAATATCCCGCTGTGGGGCATTTGGGAGGTGTTTTTGGGTGTAGCTGGGAGGGGTGTGGAGGAAAGATCACCTCCATTTCACAACAGTTTTAATTTGTTCAAGATGAATCAGTAATGAAAACAATGCTTGGTCAGTGCCACACGAACGGCCTCGTACACACTCCTCACGCTGTGAGATGCAGTTAGATGAAGGCCATGAACACTCTGTGACTTAGCAGGACGCATAATGTGCCCCCCCCCCCCCCCACTACCCCCATCCCGCAGGACACAACACGTGACCTCACGTTGTAAATAAAGTGTTTTCTTTCTGAAGGATTTCAGTGGTAAATCTCAGCGCCGTGAGGATCAGCAACGGTGAGAATAGCAAACAGGGAAAGATCATTTCTGAGCGATATGAAATAAAGCTAAATGATCCAACACAAAGTACACACACACGCACGCACACTCTAGCAGAAAGCATTATCCATGTGTGTTTATGACACATTAACATACACTGCTGCTGGGGAATAAATTACTATTATTATTTGCTTTACCCCATGAATACGGACTTGTGAGAGCGTCCCTTCGGAGGGACGCCTGCAGTATTTGTCCATTAAAAGACGTTCATCCCCTGTGGTCACTATCGGGAACACAGCGCCTTTTCCCACCCAACCAGGTCCACGGTGCGTGCGCTCAGTCTTCCTTTTGCCGAACCTACAAAGCCGCTCACACCAGCTCCTCGCCCCTCAAATAAATACAAAAACACCCACACGCCGAATGACACGAGCAACCACTCGGTGCAGCGCCACCGTCACCCGACTGCATTATTCAACAGTCCCTCGCAGAGCGTTTTGCACATCAGAGAAAGGGAAGGAGGGAAGGAGGGAGGCCTCGTCGCGAGTGTTACGAGGTATCAACAGGTTACACGCACACAGACACACAACAGGATGGAGGGCTGCAGAGCAGCAGCATTTAACCAGCCTGGGTGGAGGGCAAGGCGGCCATTGGTGGTCTGGAAGAAGGTGGTGCTCTTTGTCTGGGTCATTAACAATGAGACTAAATTAAGTCGCACACGCACGCAGACACACACGCCTCTATTCGGGCTGACGGAGCTCACTTTTTGTGGCCTCTAGTTCGCGGATGATCCTGCTCAAGTGAACAACACAGATAAGAAAGAGATAAGAAAACATTTTAAAAGAGCACTAAAATAAATAAATGAAAAAAGATTTGAAAAATAGATCTCAAAGAACATTATTCAAAGAATTGTTAGGTAACTGGATCATTTAGAAGGTGTAGTAACATCCTTTTCCTTCTACGTGTCTCCCGTGACACGCCGGCAGTAAAACACATGTCCAGATGTGGGACTTTTCTCTATTTATATTGTTGAAAACCCTCGTAAGCCCCCGAACCGGTTCATTATGTTAAAAAGCACGATTCCACCAGCGGCACCTCCTCGAAGATGACTCACTGCACCAACATGCACTCATCTCCAAAAACCACCCCATTGATCTGAGGAGATCTGCACAGACCTCCTGTGTCACAGTCCTCACAGGATATGTTCAGACACTATTGAGTAAAGTTAACGCTCTTTCTTTAAGCAAAATATGTGGTTACGCGCGTAACGCACGAGGAAATCGACTCGAAAGGTAAAAATAGGCCTGTGCAGAAACTCGGGTGTCTAAAAACGCAGCTGGATCCCCTCCTGTGTAGACATGTTCTAACCTAGATTTCCAATTATTTGGCTCGTGGCTGTGGGTCAGGAAGAGTAGCTCTAGTTAAATGAGAGGACACGTTCTAATCGGTGTTCCTCCAGAGTTTGTAACACAACTGTGAACGTGTGTGATAGGAGGCGTCATGCGTCCTTCACGAGGCAATCAGACCCACAGTGACGAGGACAGCGTCTAAAGAGACTCTTCTGTCGCGTTAGATAACGCTGTGTGCAACGCCGATGACGCCACACTTCCATTGTGTTCGCCTCAAATGACCCCTGGAATGAAGGCTTGAGGACAGACAGACATCATCTGGGTTATTAGTTTCACCTGCAGGTTTTCATGGCATGTCTCCCACAGTTGGTAAACAAATACCTGCAGAACATCAGGGGTTAGTAAAGACAAACTCAATCCAAATGTTTACCCGTCACAAATGAGACAGATTTGTGGCCTTTTATCACAAGCTGGTTCACATTTATTCAGGTGTGGTCGCGCTGGTCATTGTGTTGGGATGATATCTTTGCACCAGTAATGACCCACCGCACAATAGTGGCGTTTAAGTGGACGACTGCAACGTTTAGCAGCAGCACGAGAATATGCACACTGGCTGCTTCATATAAAATGATACCAATTTAACGCTCAACAAAAAGCTAAAAACTATTTGTTAACATAGTTAAGCAGCCATTTGAATGTTTAAGCAACGTCCACACTGCAAAATGTTTTAAACAAAAGAAAGAATTGCTTTTGGCCCTTTTAAGTACTCAACTAAAATTATGCATTGGCTGTAAAGAGATACAGAAATAAACTACATGCATTGCAGTTTTAATGATACAACAATTCTACAGGGAAAAGGGAAAAAAGTCACATCTAAGAATACAGCAGTTATTTAACTTTTAGACTCTTTTCCCATCGGGACGTCTCCCTTTCTTTTGCACGCTTACACCATAACAGCATCATCAGAAATAGCTCCGTCACATGAACGGAGCACATTATTCTCTCAGCTGTAGCATGAATTGTGAAAAAAATCTTTATAGAAATA